ATTAGAAAGTAAAAACTAATATGACGAGTGTGTTGGGAGGAGTAATTATAAATCAGATAAGCCCTAATATAATATATATGTTATTTAAAGTATTAAGAAAATTCAGGGGCTTTTTTGGGGGGAGACTTTCTTATAACATTTGATTTTTGCATTGCTTTGGCTTCTTCAGCTTCCTTTCCCAGATGACAGTTGGAAGAGAATGACCCTCCCCGTTGGTCACCCCTGTGCTTTTCAAGGCTATTATTAGTTGTATCCTTAACACACTATATCCAGAAATTGATAAAATTTTATATTAATGCCTTCAGAAACATTGGTTTGAATGACTTCATAGCAATCTGGACATTAAATTTGTCAAAGCTTATTCAAGCCATTAATTTTAAATTCTTACAGAGATGTGAGATTAGAAATCCAAATTTTATGAATGCCCACTTTGCCCAATCCCACTGTACTCTTGCTCCTCATGTATCAAGTAGGCACCCACCTCATGCCTTTTTTGTTGGGTACTTTGGCCTAGGCTGTCCTTTTTCCAGATCGCAGAAAACTTGCTTGCACTCTGTTTTGATCCCTGTTTAAATATCATTTCATCAGAATCCTTTTCTGAGATCTTACCTAAGATATATTCATTTATTTATTCTCCTATCTTTTGTTTCTTCCTCTTTTCTTCCCTTCATTCCTTTTCTTCTATACTTGATCCCTTTACCTTGCATCATTTTTCTTAAGAGCACTTGTCTGCACAACAGCATATTGTTTGTATGTATGTATGTATGCATTGTCTGTCTCCTCCCTACACCCTCAGTGTAAATTTTTTTTTCAAAGTTAAAAACAGTGTCTGACATAGTAGATGTTTATTAAATATTTTCTGAAAGATAAATGTGGTATTTAGAAGATAATTAGTAAACTATTTACCTTATCCTAAGAACTTTATGAAGATGAAAAAAGGGTTCTTGACAAAAGTTACTATATTGATCTAGCGAGATAGATTTGTACATATTCTCTTTCAGTATTCTGTCTCAGCTACTGTGTTAGGCCTAGAGACTACACACATGAGTAAGAAGTTCTATTTTAGGTTTTGATGTTTTTGATAAAACTATCTTACATACTGTGCACTTTTATCTCTGTAGTGCTATGTAATTAAAAATTATTACTAATATCTATAGATTAGTAATGGAAAAGAGAACTGTATTATCTTATGTTTCGTATAGCTGCACAATATCCCATGAACAAAATTAAACCTAAGGATTATGCTCTTTTGGGTTTGTGAGTGATTTACTATCCAATCTAGTGCTTATCTGCCAGGGGCTGTTCAACCTATTCTTGAAACCATTCTAATGATGGAGAACTCACTTTCTCTCAGACAGTTTATTCTGCCTTTGGGAGGCCTCTGATTATTAAAAAAGTCTGTCTCTATTTTAAGCCAAAATCTGTTGCTTCCACTTATTGGTTCTAATTATATCCCACGGAGGATATATTGAATAAATGTAATCCTTTCTTGTGATAGCCCCTTAGTTATTTGAAAACCTATGAAGTTCTCTCCGACACTTCCATTTTCCAGACTGAGAATCCCTAGTAAGCTATCTGTTAACAGCATCCATTTACCATTCTGGTCTTTTTCAAAGAACCTGTTTGAGTTTGTTTATGTATTTATAAAAGTTGTTGGCACCTAGAAGTGAAAGCACTCCCTAAAACTAGGAGAATTGCACTGTTTCCTTTGTAGTTCTCAGTTTTCTATTTTATTGCATCTTTATTATTTAAGTTTTCTCCCAATCATTTCACACCTTTTCTCATTTGACTTATGTTAACTAAAATACTTAGTTGCTCCCCCTCCACTCCACCTTTCACAAATGATATGGGTAGGTCATGTCTCATGCCTTCCTTATTTGTAGTTTCTGATTTTCTTTGTGTTTTTCCCACCTCCTCACCCCCTTTGTAACCCCCCCTAAACAAACACGCATGTAATTACTCTGTGGTTAGAATTATACTTTATTGGCAGATTGTTTTTGCTGGGCTAGGTGCTTATGGAATATAGAATTAGTGGGAATTTGGCATGGTTTCTAAGGTGGGAATGCAGTCTATCACTCTTTCAGTATTCCTTTGTCCTTACACGTTTTCAAAATCTGTTTATTGTGTTGCTCTCTGATCTGAAAGAAGATTTCAGCTCCCCTTTTCTTCTACACGTTTCCAGAATGCTAGCAGTAGAGCAGAGGGTCAAGTCTGGCTCTGACAAAATAGTATCATTCAAATCACAAACCTGTTATCAGTTGCAGTTGGTTTGGTGAAGTACCTAATGCAAATCAGTCTTGCTTGCCATGAGACAGTTTTTAAAAATAACTAACCCCTGACATTGTGAATGTAATTCTTTTGATTAGGTAATTTAGACCATTTTGCATCACTAATTTTGTATAGCAGGTTATCATTGCTAGAATGATACGATGCAGCATTGACACTTTTAATTAAGACAGATGGAAAAGAGAACACATTTTGCCTGTCCCTGATACGTAACATTTTGGTATATTATTAAACTTCCAGTGTTCAAATTATTTTTTACTAGACTGTGATTTGCAAGCTCATACCTTTTTTTGGTTTGTTTTTTTTTAAAAGCTATTGAAATACGAATGGAATGATTTCTTATAGGACTTAAGAAAAATTGCCTATCAAATGCTGTTTAAATGTGAAATTCTAAATCTTCTAGTATATAACTTACAATCTAACAAATTTTAAGAAGTCTGCCTTTCAGACTATCTTAAGCGCTTAAATTTTTTGTTTATTGTAGTTGATTTGTTGTGGTTGTGACTTTTATTGGTTCTTGATTTTATTCAGAATTGTTGAGCAAAGATTGTTCGGGAATTCTGTCTTGCTGTTTTATAAATCAGTGGTCTATAGGTCATATAATAACTATAAAAATCACAAAGATCTTTTTTCAGATTTTTAGCTGCTGACATTTTAATCCAGTTTTAAAGTGTCTTGTTTAAAAACTAACATGATGAAAATGGAATAGATTTGGTGTGTAGTTTAGAGACATGTAAAGTGACAGTTACATCATTGGAAAGGCCATTATTGAAAATTCACAACAATCAAACCAGTTTGGATTCAGTGTAGAGACTGAATTTGTTATTAACAGTAATTGCAATAAAACAGTATAACACTGTGATAGTATTAGTGATTTCCAGTAAATTGAAGTATGTTCAGCTTGATGTCTAGTTAGGTTAACATTTAGTTGATTGTATTTATTCAAGTTACCTAACATCATTAAGTATTTATTATTTTTTTTTAGCCTCACCTGAGGACATTTTTGCATTTTTCTTCAGATAAAGCGGGAGGGAGAAGGGGAGGAGGAGGAGGGAGAGAGAAACATCGATGTGAGAGAGAGACATCGAGTGGTTGCCACCCACACAGCCCCAACCAGGGCTGGGGACAAACTGCAACTGAGGTACGTGCTCTTAACGGAAACCGAACCTGGGCCTCTCTGGTCTGTGGGCCAACGCTCTAACTGCTGAGCCATATTGGCCAGGGCACATCATAAGTATTGTTACATGTTCTCTCATGTGGTAATATAAGATTGCCAGATATAAATATATCTGTAAATACATCATGAGGTTATTGTCCCATTTCTTTAGGCTTATTTTATCACACATCTAACTATTTCTGTGCTCATTATAATTAAATATGAAAATATTAATTTAACATAAATTATTTTTTCTTTCTTTCTTTTTTTTGGTTAATCTGCACCTGAGGATATTTTTCCACTTTTTTTTAGATAACGTAGAAGGGAGGGAGGAAGAGAGTTAGAGAGAGAAACATCCATGTGAGAGAGAGACATCGGTTGGTTGCCTCCCACATGACCGCATCGGGGCCGGGGATCAAACCTGTAACCCAGGCACATGCTTTGACCGGCAATCGAACCCACAACCTTTCAGATGCTCCAGCCACTGAGCAAAACCGGCCAGGGCTATTTTTTTAAAAATAATTTGTTGTTATAAGTAAGTATATTGAAGTGAATTACAAAGAAAAAGTTTTTAAACATTTCTCATTTACCATTAAAATGGATTTTTTCCTCCTTGCTTCTTGTTTAGGTTATAACCCACTTCAAGTCTTTGCAAATAAATGGTAGTAGATCTATGAGAGATGATGACTTACGATAAGTAACAAATTACCCAGAAAATTAATTTAGCACAGCAGACATTTATCATCTCATGACAGTTATCACTGTTGTGGGTCAGGAATTTAGGAGCAGGTAGCATAGTTTATCTCTTCTTCATTGATTTGAATGCCACCATTATAAAATCTAAATTTCTATATATGTTGGGTGTTTCTAGACTTTCTTTTCTTTTGTTAAAATAATATATCAGCCCTGGCCAGTTTGGCTCAGTGGTTAGAACGTCATCCTGCGGACCAGAGAGTCCTGGGTTTGGTTCCTGCTAAGCCTAAGGGCATGTACCTCAGTTGCAGTTTGTCCCCGGCCTGTTGGGATTGTGTGGGTGGCAACCAGTCTATGTGTCTCTCTCACATCGATGTTTCTCTCTCTCTCTCTCCCCCCCTGTCTCCCTCCCACTCTATCTAAAGATAAATACAAAAATGTCCTCAGGTGAGGATTACAAAAAAGAAATAATAATATATCAAGTGGTATATATTTAGGTTCGTCTTTATTGCACACTCTTTTTCTGAGGGGAGAAAGCCTTTTGGTATTTTTATCACATACCACACTAAATATATTAGTTTTTGATGTTTTGAAATTCTTTTTACTTTGTTATCATTTCTCTTTTTAATAAAGTCTACTGAATTTTTAATACATATATTAGTATATATTTGGAAGGATTCTGAATATATTAATGTAAAGGAGAACTTATATTTCTTTAATTGTCTTCCATGTGTCAGGTGCTTTTTTCATATATATATTAACTCATGTAACTATTTATTATGCCAAGTCCATTTGTAACTGAAATTTGTAGAATGGGCAATTATTTGTGGCCAAATTTCCTTCAACACTGCTTTTTTTTCTTCAGCTGTGATGCAGATCCATCAGCCCTAGCAAAATATGTTCTTGCTTTGGTAAAAAAAGACAAAAGTGAAAAAGAGTTAAAGGCATTATGTATTGATCAACTGGATGTATTTCTTCAAAAAGGTAAGATATATGGTTTTAAAATACTACCTTATTTTAATAAGTTATTTAAAATAAGATTATATAGCTATTCCCAAAAGCGGCCTGAGGTGACCTCTGAAAATGGTTCACTATTCACTTGACCTAGAAGACCTCACAAAATCATGCAAATCAAGAGGTTCAAATCTTCATGTTCACTTTAAGAACACTTGACAGAAGCAATGTGTGCCATTCTGTCATTACAGTGGTGAGTTGGTAGGTGTGCCCAGGCCAAACAATGGGCTGGACACAGGGTCAGTGGCCCAAAAAGAGTGCTGAGTTTTTGCTGCACATGCTTAAAAATGTAGAGAGTAATGCTGAACTTAAGGGTTTCGATGTAGATTCTTTGGTCATTGAGCACATCCAGGTGAAGAAAGCTCCCAAGATAGGTGCAGAACTTACAGAGCTTGTAGGTGGATGAACCCATACTTGAGCTCTCCCTGCCACACTGAGGTGGTCCTACTGAAAAAGAGCAAACTGTTCCTAAACAGAGGAGATTGCACAGAAGAAAAAGATGTCCCTGAAGAAACAAAAGCTTTTGGCCTAGGAGTAAATCAGCATCAAATAAATACTAGTAAAAGTTTTAAAAAGAAAAGATTAGCCCTGGCCGGTTTGGCTCAGCGGTTAGAGTGTCGGCCTGCGGTCCCAAGAGACTTGGGTTCAGTTCCCGCTAAGGGCATGTACCTCGGTTGCAGTTTGTCCCCAGCTCTGGTCAGTCGTGCGGGTGGCAGCCACTCGATGTGTCCCTTCACGTCGATGTTTCTCTCTCTCTCTGTTCCTCTCTCCCCCTCCTACTCTGCCTGAACAAAGGATGGAAAAATGTCCTCGAGTGAGGATTAAAAAAAAAAAAGAAAAGATTATCCACAGTATTAAAGGAACTCAATAAGAGAAAGGCTGTAAATTGAACAAATAATAATATTACTGATTATATCCATAGCTTATTTATACAGGAAGGCTTTTCTTTCATTATGCTCTTTCTTAAACCATGCTGATATTTTTTCTTTTAAGATTAAAAAAATGATCGAATGCTTGATTAAGAAAATGACTGAATGCTTGTTTATTTAAAGGTTAGTACTCTTTAGGAATCTACTTTGAATGTTGTCTAGCACAGTGCTTCTTAGCTTTTTCACTTTGCCAACATCTAGATGATGGTGATATTTGTGTTTGCACACTGGTAGGGTACATGGAAACTAGTCATGGCTGGAAGTGGCTGGCCCAGAAACTCCAGGCATTCCAGTCCCCATCACTCTGAAAATGGGATGGATCAGTATCACCATGAGACTTGTGACATGGCCTACTGGTTAGGAGGATTTTAAGTGAAGAGTAATATCGTAGCATATGTCTTTTAATATGTGGGGTTTTTTGTTTTATTTTTAGAGACACAGATATTTGTGGAAAAACTTTTTGATGCTGTGAATACAAAGAGTTATTTACCTCCTCCAGAACAGCCATCATCAGGAAGCTTAAAGGTAGAGTTTTTTCAGCACCAAGAAAAAGATATAAAAAAAGAAGAGGTAAGAATTTGTGTTTAACCTTATATTTTCTTTAAAAACATATAAGGGATAATTAAACTGAGTTGCATTTTCTGTATCTGTGTCAGGAGTCTTCAAGACCAACTCTGGGTTCAGTGATTTCACTAGGAGCACTCACAGGACTCAGCATATAGTCATTGTCATGGTTATGATTTCTTACAGTGAAAGGATACAAAGAAAAAAGCCAAGGGAACAACGTGTGTGGAGCAAAGTCTAGGGGGAAACAGATTCAAGCTTCCAGAGGCCTGTCCCAGTGAAGTCACATAGGATATGCTTAAGGAGTAGTGATAATATGTGTGAACCAGGGAAGCTTGTTAAAGACTAGGGTGCCCAGGCCATCAAGGGTATGCATATCTGAAAAGTCACCAAGTATAGTATGTGGCACATAGCAGGTTTCTCAGTAAGTGGTAATTGATATTAATATTGAGAGATGGTTGTGTGGTAGAAGATGTAGCTGTGACCTTTGTTTTTTTTTTACCCCTCATAAATCTTTTTTTTTTCAGATTATATAACTAAAACATGTTTATTATGCAATAATATATGCATATGTAGTGTTACATAGTATTAACTATATTTTTATCCCTGTATACGTAAACATATTTATACACATTAATATGTATGTAGTTAAACAGACACATACATAATAAAACACTCCCATTATGTCTCTCTGCAGGGGAAAACCAGACATAATTTATAACTACTTATTCTGTACCAATTCCATAGGGATTCTGTTAGTAAGGAAGACAGGGATAGTAGATATTGTGCTGGCAACTACTTAAAAGTTTTGCCCACTGATGGAAGTTTGGGTTGGTTCCTGATTTTTGCTATTTAAAAATATATTTTAATTCATAAAAAATCTTTAGTAAATCATGGGCTCTTGGTTTGAGAAACAGTAAGAAGTCTTTCCCCAAAACCAGTTAGTGGCAAAGTCTTAGTCTTATATCTATTTATATAATAGTATTTCACAAAGCACAGTTTTCTTAAACAATTATTAAGGATATTTATCCCTGATCTTTCAGAACTGTTAAAATATCAGGTGACAATCTGGATTAAAGTGCTGTGGGTGTAGGAAAAGTTCCCAGTTGATTATGTGCTATGTAATAGGATGATCTGTCAACGTAAATTACTCACAAGTGTGCAGTGAGGCAAATAGAAAGGAAAAAGTGCCTCAGGAGGGTTTTATTTGTACCCAGTGTTTTTGATGCGGGTGGGTTCATGTGGGTGGCAAGAGAACAAAAGTATTAAGGAATAAAAGCCATACTGTTAAAGTAAGGTTTTTAAGCAGTGTCCGAGTTTTGTTTGTTGATAGGATATCTGTTTAACTTATCATCCAATGTGGAACATTTTTGACAGTGAGAGACTCTTAACCAAAGGGATGCTGGAGCATCTGGCACAAACTGGAACTTGTTTATATTGTCTGTAGACTACCTACATCAGAATATCTTAGGGTTCTTATTAAAAATGCAAATCTGAGCCTTACCATATTTCTAGAAGCTACATGTTTAACATTTTCTGAATTTATTTATTCTCTAAATTCTTTTTTTTCTAGTAACACCTGTTAATGTCCTATGGAAACAGTGTTTTGGGTAGTACAGCATGGAAAATTCTGGCCTAGACAAAATAGCACTGAATAAGGGAATGTTTTCCAGGACTGCTTTCTATTTTTTTTTATCCTCACCCGAGAATATTTTTCCATTTTTTGTACAGATAGAGTGGGAGGGAGGGAGAGGAAGGGAGAGAGAGAGAGAAACATCGACGTGAAGGGACACATTGAGTGGCTGCCACCCGCACGACCAACCAGGGCCGGGGACAAACTGCAACTGAAGTATGTGCCCTTAGCAGGAACCAAACCCCGGTCTCTCCGGACCGCAGGCCGACGCTCTAACCGCTGAGCCAAACTGGCCAGGGCAGGACTGCTTTCTATTAATTATATAATATGAGTGGAGACCTTTTGTAGTAAAGAGGAATATATAGCTGCCACACTGCTGCGAGAAACTGAAGAACTGTTCTGTCTTTCATATTATTTTCTCAAATGTTCTCTTTTTTTTATGACTTAGTTCTAATGCATTCTCCTATATTACCTAATGTGTTAAGTGACAAACCAAATCCATGAACCAAAACATGAATGTATATTGGACTTTTTATTTTTCGGTGGTGTTAATTCTCACTGGAGGATATTTTTTCTATTGATTTTTAGAGAGTGGAAGGGAGGGGAGAAGGAGGGAGAGAGAAAGTGTAGAGAAACATCGATATGAGAGAGATACATTGATTGGTTGTCTCCATGTGTGCCCGAACCCGGGCCAGGTATTGAACCTGCAACCCTTGACCAGGAATTAAACCCGAGCCTCTCCATGCACAGGCCTTTGCTCTAACCACTGACCATGCTGGCCAGGACGTATGTTGGACTTTTGAAAGAAGGAATAAAGTTGGGTTTTCACTAATAATTTAAAAATGAGGACACTTGCTTAAAATGTTTTCTCATCACTGAATGTTACCTAAGATAAGAATTTACGAGTTTCTTTAGATTCACTTTAACTTTCAGCATGCTGGTCATGAATGGTTAAACTAAATTATGGTGTTTAGAGGAGAAATTTATTTTGTTTGAATACTTTTAGAGGATGACCATTTTACTTTTATATTTTAGTATCAGTTAAGTTATTGAAATAGTAACATGGTAAGGAATAACTGTTTCTCAACTTCTGCACACTTTTTTTTGTATATCAGATCCTAAAGGAGGAAGAACGAGAGAAGAAGTTTTCTAGAAGGCTAAATCACAGTCCTCCCCAGTCAAGCTCCCGATACAGAGAAAATAGGTGATTCTTTCATTGAACCATGTTCGGTGATAAGACATTGGTTATCTTTTACATGACTGTTTAGACTTGATTGTCTTTTACACTGAGGCGAGTAATACCTATTCTTTTATTGGTCTAAGAAAGTATAACTCAGTCCTTTTTTACCAAGAATATCTAAGATTTCTGGGTCCTAGAAGTGATATTTAGAATAGTGCTTGGCATTGAATAGTTATTGTTATTATTTTTATTCTTAACTTCAAATTCCAGTGAAATTTCAATGAGACCTTTCTTTGCCTGAAGTTCTTTTTAATATGAATTCATAATTTTTTTCATTAAGGCTTCAAAGGCATTTAGAATGCATTGGATGTGATACATGCCTGTGAGATAAGATGTAAGTGTACACATATGTACAAGTACATATATGTACAAGACAATATGTACTATAATGTACTATAAGACATATGTATAGATGACTTTGTATATAATAAGACTGAGGATTAAGACTTTAAAGAGTTTTTTTTCTTCATTGATTTTAGAAAGGAAAGGAAAGGAGAGGGAGAGAGAGAGAGACATTGATGAGAGAACATCAACTGGCTGCCTCCTGCATGCCTCACACTGGAGATTTGACCTACAGCCTGAGCATGTGCCCAGACCAGGAATGGAGCTGGCGACCTCTTGGTGCTTGGGTCCATGCTCCACCACTGAGCTATACCAGCCGGGCAAGACTTTAAGAGTTTTTCCCTTAAAGGAGTTTTAGAGTTCTTAAGCAGATCATGTTCAGTTTTTTATTGTTTGAGTTTCCTGTGTTTGTATTCTGATGGTGTGATAAAGAATCATGATGTTACAAGAATTAACTACAACTTTTGCATTTAATTAGAGTTTTCCTGTATCTACTTGAAAGTTATTGACATGAAAGTGATCATCTATTTCTTTAGAAGTCGTGATGAGAGGAAAAAAGATGATCGTTCTCGCAAAAGAGATTATGATCGAAACCCTCCTCGAAGAGATTCTTACAGAGACCGGTACAATAGAAGACGAGGGCGAAGTCGCAGTTACAGCAGGAGTCGGAGTCGAAGTTGGAGTAAAGAGAGGCTTCGTGACAGGGATAGGGACAGAAGCAGGACTAGAAGCAGAAGCAGAACACGAAGCAGGGGTAAATCATAAATCATATGTGTATATTCTCATTGGCATTCTTTTATTGGGAAAACGCTTCTTATGTAAGAGTCTTAAAACTTGTTTTAATTTTGTCAGTGTTGTCATCATTTTTTCCAATTTGTATTGGTCCAAGTGAATGCTTTTTCAAATTTTTATTTCATGCAAATTAAAAGCACAATGAATTACCATTGCATATCCATCAGAATGACTAATGTTAAAAAGACTAACTTTATTCAATATTGGTGAGGATGGAGAGCTACTGAAACTCTTTGCAAAATACTTTGACTGTATCTTAAAACTATAAAACCTACACCTACCAAATGATCCAGCCTTTTCACTCCTAGGTATTTACCTAAGAGAAGTAAAAGTGTATTTCCCCCCAACAACTTGTCTACAAATGATTATGGCATCTTCATTTGTAATAGCCAAAAATTAGAAACAACCCAAATATTCATCAGCAGGTGAATGGATAAACAAATTGAGGTATACCCATATGATGTATAAAAAGGAAAGAACTGTTGATGCAAACCAATCTGTGACAGAAAACAAATCAGTGGTTGCCTGGGATGGATTATCAAGAAGTACACTGATACTTTTGGGGGTGATGAGTATGTATATAGTATGTACTTTATTTTGATTGTGGTGTTTTATTTCACAGGTAGATGCATAGATCAGAATTCATTAAATATTTTCAGTTACTTATATATCAGTTATGCTTCAAAACTATGGAAACAGTTAAACGTTTTTATTTCAGATGTGTGTAGTTGCAAGACCATGTCATTTCCAACATGTATAATTTTTCTTTTAATTATTGAAAGGAAGATATAGCCAATAAAATAATAAACACCTTTGAATAAATCACCTTTACTCAAGCTTAGATTTTAGCTATCCTTGCAACCTTTATGGTATAGCCATCTTTAATCTAGGGAATAATTTTATAGCCTTTCTATAAATCCTGTACTTCTCTTGTTACTCTTCTTTTAGAGTTGTGCCCCCCCCCCCCCATGATCTGTGTGGGCTAGGCCTCTCTGCATGGTGCTTCACTTAACAAATCTCCTTAATACCTTTTCCCTTTCCTTGGGACCATATGCAGCCCATAATTAATTTCTTTATTTATGTTTAGTATGGGCTAATTTTCTTCCTCTGTTCATCCATTCTCTATCAAATAGTGTTTACTGTGAAAAGGCATGCTAGGATCTTTAGATGGATGACAATTAAATGTTCATCCCAGAAAAAATAACCATAGTTTTAGTTTAGTTTAGTTTAGTTCAGTAGAGTTCAGTTCAGTTCAGGAACGTGCCCCTAGCGGGAACCAAACCCGGGACTCTGGTCTGCAGGCTGATGTTCCAGCCTCTGAGCCAAACCAGCCAGGGCTTATTTTATTTATTTATTTATCCTTACCCGAGGACACTTTTCCATATTTTGTTCAGATAGAGTGGGAGGAGAGAGAGAGAGAGAGAGAGAGAGAGAGAGAGAGAGAGAGAGAGAGAGAAACATCAACGTGAAAGGGACACATCGAGTGGTTGCCACCCGCACGACTCAACCAGGGCCAGAGACAGACTGCAACCGAGGTACAAGCCCTTAGCGGGAACTGAACCCGGGTCTCTCTGGACTGCGGGCCAATGCTCTAACTACTGAGCCAAACCGGCCAGGGCTTATTTTTTTAAATATATTTTTATTGATTTTTTTTTTTTAATAGAAGGAGGAAGGGAGAGAGAGATAGAAACATCAGTGTAAGAGAGAACATTGACTAGTTGCCCGTGCGCACTCCCTCCTGGGGATTGAGCCCACAACCCAGGCATGTGCCCTGACTGGGAATTGAACCGGATCCACTCAATCCATGGGGTGACCCTCAATCCACTGAGCCACACCAGCTGGGCAACCGTAGTTTTATTTTGTTTTGTGGACTGAAGTTATGCATACTAAGAAAATTTTAAAATCTCTTTTCTGTAAACAGAACTTCAAGAAATTTTAAACTCATTAAACACACATTTATGTGTGGTTTTATAGTTTAGGTCATATTGAAAAGAAATGGCTTATCTTGGAACAATGTGTACTTATTGTTAGATTTTAAAAGAAAAAGACGATTGTCTAAAATTTGAACATTCTCTGTTTAGCAAAAATAGTACTATTTCTTAGATTTGGGACATGGTTTTTTAAAACAGTTTTATAAGTAATTTACATTTTGTTGCAGAAAGGGATCTGGTAAAACCTAAATACGACCTGGATAGAACAGATCCACTAGAAAACAATTATACTCCAGTTTCTTCAGTACCTAATATTTCATCTGGTCACTACCCTGTACCTACTTTGAGCAGCACGATAACAGTAATTGCTCCTACACATCATGGTAATAACACTACCGAAAGTTGGTCTGAATTTCATGAAGACCAAGTGGACCATAACTCATATGTCAGACCACCAATACCAAAGAAACGGTGTAGAGACTATGATGGTAAGCCTTTCAACTGTTTCATGAAGTATTGAATTAATATTTCCAGCTGACTAAATTCTGTAAGTTTAGTTTGCACACAGTTATTTAAAGACTTAACCTATTGGAAATAGTGGGAAATTAATTTTAAGCATTCACGAATTTCTCAGTATTCTTGAAAACTTCATTAGTTGATCACCACTGACTACTGAATATATGTTTAAATATATTGTTTATTTGCATGTAAGTCTTACATTTGGAATTTACCAAATAAGAGTAATATTCACAGAGTTACTTATGAGGGAATCTGCTACTGAAACATTTTGACAAAACTCACATCTTTAAACATTAATGTTATTGGCATGTAAGTAGAACTAGAAAAGTGAATATCACCTATTTAAGAATTTTATAAATGAACACTCTCAAGGTTTTACTGTAAAAGTTTTATAAATTGTATGAAAGCTATAGTTGTACTATTCATAAAGTTTTAAGTGAGATTTAAATACAGGAAGTGTTTCTAATGACATACACATGGAAGTTTTATACCATCTTGCTAGCTAGATATACTAATTTTTATTTGGTGATAATATATTTTAGTGTCTGTGTTAGCTATATTATCACTTGATAAGTATTTTTAAATTACTGGAATTAGTAGGTAGCTGTTGTGGTATGGTTAATTATACTTGCCCAATATTTTTAAATATTTCTGGTTTTAAATAGCTTAACTTTTTTTTAACTTAGAGAAACTTTGTATGTCCAGCACTTTTTATATTTCTGTTTTTCCTCACAGAAAAGGGTTTCTGTATGAGAGGAGACATGTGCCCTTTCGATCATGGAAGTGACCCTGTAGTTGTAGAAGATGTGAATCTTCCTGGTATGCTGCCTTTCCCAGCACAGCCTCCTGTTGTTGAAGGACCACCTCCTCCCGGGCTCCCCCCACCTCCACCAATTCTTACACCCCCACCTGTGAATCTGAGACCCCCAGTGCCACCTCCAGGCCCATTACCACCCAGTCTACCACCTGTCACAGGTAAATAAATATGTTTGTTTGCCTATACTTTTATCTGTTCATTCATAGTCTTTTAAAAATGTTAATAGTTTGATGCTTGCTTTTATTAAAAGTATCTAAAGTAATTTTATAGGTACTGGAAACTAGAGCAAGATATTCCAGTTAGACCTACACCCCTACTTTGCTTGGCTATGCCAAACCTATGGTTTGGGGTGGCTCTGAATTATGCACATCCCTGATAAATCCCAGCTGCCTGTAGTACTTTATAACTTAAGAGAAACCTGTTTTAGAAATCATTAAAAGGGTATTTTACCCTAGATAACTAATACAGTTGTAGGAACTTGATATTTGTAGATATTATAGTTTGATGAATGAGAATATCATGTTTGGATATGCAAATAACTTATTTTATTTGTTTGCTTTCAGATGATATTTCTTATTCTTTGGTTTTGACAGGACCACCACCTCCACTTCCTCCTTTGCAGCCATCTGGCATGGATGCTCCCCCAAACTCTGCAACCAGTTCTGTTCCTACTGTAGTAACAACTGGCATTCATCACCAGCCGCCTCCTGCTCCACCCTCTCTCTTTACTGCAGGTGCAGTTTTGGCCCTCTCTACATTTATAATGTAATACAGTTTTAGATGAGTTTAAAAATTTTTAGAGAGTGAATTGCTCTAGCAGGTCTATTTTTCTCACTAAAATGACATAGAATAAAAATGTAGACATGGTGAATGTACATTAAATGTAAATCTTCAATTAAGATGTGTTTAAAATCTAAGTCACATTTTCTTTTTAATAATATTTTTACTTTTATAAAACTAAATTTTCTTTTTAATACATGTGAAATATATTAGCTTTATATTAGCAATATATAGTTTATTTTTTCTATGACAATATAGAAAAATTATGAAGTGGAGTTTTATAATTGTTTTTTAATTACAGTTTTTGTATTACCAGATACATATGACACAGATGGCTATAATCCTGAGGCCCCAAGCATAACAAACACTTCCAGACCTATGTATAGACACAGAGTGCATGCACAAAGGCCCAACTTGATAGGACTGACATCAGGGGATATGGATTTGCCACCCAGAGGTACTATGATTAATCTTTACTTATAATTTTCATAATATCTGGAATGATAAACATTTATAAAAAAACAGTTGGTCCCACATTTATAGGGGTTGAGTCAAGGATGGTGTTTATGTTTGTTTCTTGAATCCTTTGGTCTCCCATGAGAGAAAAGAGAATGTGTGTTTCCCTATTTGTGGTGTTTCCAAGGGGAAAGGAATTTTATAAAAGTACATATTTTCTAATGTAGCTTTTGTTGGGTATTTTTTGTCATTTGCGGTCTTAATAGATTTATTTAAACTCTTGAGATTATTGCTTTAATTCCTAAAGATAGACTCTGTCATAGTTTGTAATGAACTTAGCTGTACAAACTTGTGCTTGATATGTATTTTACTTTTGTTTATTTTGATGTTAGAATTTGAAATTGGTTTGCCTATATATTTTAAGCAAAAGGAATTCTGTTTTAGTAAATGACTAATTAACCTTTAAGGTTTTCTTGGTGGAGACTATTTGATAAAATTTCTAAACGGGAGAAGAACATAAGAGTTTAGACACAAGCTGATGCAGCAAAACTAAAGGTTCCAGTTAGACCTACACCCCTAAAGGTTCAAATGGATATGGAGATTCAGAGGAGGTAGAGAGTTTATGTTACTTAGAAAGATGGTGCATTTGCTACAGATAATATTTAATACAGGGAAGTGAGGGATGGTTAGACATAAAAAATATTATGTACACCAATAAAAGTATTTTTCCCTATTTCAATTTTTAAGTCTCGTTATCTTTCCAGTTTTTCCTTCATGTCTTTTTTTCTAGTAAAAAAAGAAATGTCATGCCTTATTAATCATGAATAAAACTCTAAATTAATTAAATAACACTCAACAACTAATTTGGTTTACTATTTTGTAATTACTTGCACCTTGAATTTTTTAATTTGTTCATTGGAAACTAAGATTCTGAGCATGTACCTTGAGTGTTCAAAGAACTTTTTGTGATGGAGGTGTGATGATCATTTTAATTTATACTCAATTTAATTTGTATCCTATTTGAGATCACGAGATATTTCATATGGATGCTCCCTTTCCCTCACATGTTTTAAAGTTGTCTGTGGCATTCTAATAACTATCATTAACAACAACAACAATAGAAGAAAAGATTTTTTTTTTAAACAGTTTCTGTGCAAGGAATATAAGCTTGCTTGTAATTGAAAAGTAGCCACTTAAGATTGTGGCTATTTATCCTCCAAGTCTCTCCTACCTGACCAGTTAGAGATAACCCCTTCCTTTCTTGGGTCACTACATAGCACTTATTTTCTTTTTGTCATGTGCATACTCCTTGCTCTTACTAGAACTCTAGCATCAAGTCGCCTCTTTCTTATCTTGCTCTTTAGGAATGGCATAACCGTATGTGCTGCAGATCTGTATTTATTAGAGCCATTCCAAAGCTAGGCCAGTTTTTTGTTGGTAGGAGAGAAGGAAGAGGAATAAAACCCCTTACATATAAATCTTACCATGTAGAAATTGGAGTGGTGGTCATTTCAGCTCCATGTGCATGTAGTTTCAAGTTACAGGAAGTGAACCTATTAAAAGAGAAAAGTCTGGTGTGCCTACTTAGAAATTTGAAAGCCTTTTTTCATAGAATCGTTATACATAGTGATTATTTTAGTACTATTCTTTGGATAGATTATGCACTATTTCTGTGAGCTGGTTTAGGAATATATTCTTTTTTTTTTTTGTCCTCACCCGAGGACATTTTTCCATTTTATGTTCAGATAGAGCGGGAGGGAGAGAGAAACATCGATGTGAAGGGACACATCGAGTGGCTGCCACCCGCATGACCAACCAGGGCCGGGGACAAACTGCAACCGAGGTACATGCCCTTAGCGGGAACCGAACCCGGGTCTCTCTGTACCGTACGTAGGTCGACGCTCCAATCGCTGAGCCAAACCGGCCAGGGCAGGAATATATTCTTTATTAATAACACTGTTTTTATGTACCACAGAACTGATTTAGCAACCCATTTATATTGAGGATTACATATACCTCTATTTCCTTTTCTTTTCTCAGTCATCCCTCCCCCAAAATGTTTACATCTGTTGCCCATTTGGTTTGAAAGTTAATGTCCTGGATTTGTGACAGATACTTAATTAAAAGTGTATGATGCTGTTTATTGCGATTATTATATATTTCCAATAGCCTATAGATGGCCTTAATTTAACTTTGTCAAAGACTATTATGTGATAATCATATTTTTATGCTTCATACTTTAAACCTACAAATGAAAAAAAATTAGGCTCTTTGATGCCTTGGAATTCCTAATATTACTATAACTTACAGGCCCTGATAATTGTTTTTTCCATATTTCTAAGAAGGTGAAAATTTGATAGATACTACTTGATTGAATATAGGTAGGAAGAAGGGCTAAGTAGTTTTTTGTTTGCGGTCAGCAAAACCAGTGCTGAAAAACAGATTTATTAAGAAGGATATTGAATACACACAGTACATATAAGTAATAGACACATTTGGTAATTGTATACTCAGAGGAACTTGGTTCTGTTTTTTGTTTTTATTTCTCACTTTTAAATAAATAACAATAAAAGAATATGAGTGAGAGAATACAAATGAATTGGAGCAAACACATCACAAGTACTGGTGAAAAACACATCACTACCTCATAGTAAACCTTTAGATAAATAACATTAAAGAAAAAAGGATATTGGATAGCTCAAAGACCTCTCCAAAGGGGCCAGTGAACCAGGCTTGTGAGGCAGGAATAAGGCCAAAAATCCTGTTGCAGAACTGGTCCTGTGAAGATACCACTGAGCAAGGAACCTACAACTTGCATTGTGACCATCACCCATGCTACGATACTGGATATTTCTACCTGATCTGCTGTAGACATGTAGGATAAGTCAGAGGTAACCAGCAAAAGGGTCTAGATTAGCGGTTCTCAACCTGTAGGTTGCGACCCCTTTGGGGGTCGAATGACCCTTTCACAGGGATTGCCTAAGACCATTGGAAAACACATATTTCCGATGGTGATTCATAACAGTAGCATAATTACAGTTACAAAGTAGCAACAAAAATAATTTTATGGCCCTGGCTGGTTTGGCTCAGCGGTTAGAGTGTCGGCCTGCGGTCCAGAGAGACCTGGGTTCGTTTCCCACTAAGGGCACGTACGTCGGTTGCAGTTTGTCCCCGGCCCTGGTTGGGTCATGCGGGTGGCAACCCCTGGTTGGGTCATGTGGGTGGCAGCCACTCGATGTGTCCCTTTCACGTTGATGTTTCTCTCTCTCTCTCTCTCTTTCTCTCCCCCACTCTATCTGAACAAAAAATGGTAAAAATGTCCTCGGGTGAGGATTAAAAAAATAATAATAATAATAATTTTATGGTTGGGGGTCACCACAACATGAGGAACTGTATTAAAGGGTTGCGGCATTAGGAAGGTTGAGAACCACTAGTCTAGATAAAGCGTATACATCCTAAAATACTTTTGAGAATCTGGAAGAATTTTGTGACTTGAACAGAAGGAGTAAGGGATGTGGAGGGATGTAAGAGGCCAATGAAAGGCATTTAAAGAATTCCGGAGAAGAGATGGTAGTAGCTGGACTAGGGTAGTAACAGTGGGAAATGAAAGATTTAAGTTTAGTTGGTAAGAGTTGACAACACTTGTAACTTATGGGACTTAGAATGGGAGTAATAGAGACGGTGAAATTAAAAACAACAGGTTTCTGCTATGGAAATTGGGCAGATGAAAAAAGCACGTTGAACAGTCTTTTCTTCTGTGTCATTAGTAATAGTGAGAACTAAAGAAAGATGGACGGAAGCATACCCAAATCTGAAAGCCTGGCTGACAAAGGTTCCAAAAGTGTTCTCCTTGAGAATCATTACATTGATGAATGAAGCCCTTGCAGTAGATAATATGTCTCGGGGAGGTTGTGTAGAGCGAGATTGGAAAGTCCAAGTAAATAACCTGGAGAATGCTTCCACTGACACAGTGGGCAGAGAAAAGGGAGCTTACATAAGGCACTGAGAAAATGAATCCAAAAAGACACAGACAAAAGCAGGGAGTGTGGTGTCTTGAAAATCAAGAGAGAATAAGGAGGGGAAGGTGATCAACAGCATTAAATACTTTTGAGAGGTCAAGTAATAGAAAGACTGGGATGTATTCATAAGCTGAAGCAACAAATGAGGACATCAGCGATTTTAGCAAGAGCAAGTTAAGTGCAATAATCGAAGCAGCTAACAATTTTTAGAGAATTAGTGAATTGTGTGGGTTGTAAGGAAGCAAAGTTAGCAAGTGTAGACATTTCTTAGGAAATAGCTGTTAAGGGTAAGAAGAGAAGGTTGGAGCTGGAGGGTAAAGTTGTCTTTTTTTTCTTTTGTTATAACCTCACCCGAGGACATTTTTGCATTCATCTTCAGATAGACCTAGAAGGAGAGAGGGAGGAAGAGAGAGAGAGAAACATCGATGTGAGAGAGACACATCGACTGGCTGCCACCCATACAACCCCAACTGGGGCCGGGGACAAACTGCAGCTGAGGTATGTGCCCTTAACAGGAACCAAACCCATCTCTCTGGACTGCGGGCCGATGCTCTAACCGCTGAGCAAACTGTCCAGGGTGGTAAAGTGGTCTTAAGAGGTTTCTTTTTAAAAATGGAGTAATGGCCCTGGCCGGTTTGGCTCAACAATTGGAGTGTTGGCCTGCGGACCAGAGAGTCCCGGGTTCGGTTTTCGCTAGGGGCCTATACCAAATAAATAAATAAATAATAAATAGAAATGGAGTAGTGTTCATGGGAAACATTAGTATGGAGTTTCTCAAGAGATTAAAAATAAACCTGCCTTATGACCCAGTGATTCTTCTTCTGGGGATTTATCTGAAGAAACCCAAAACACAAATTCTCTGTGGATTTATTTGAAGAGATCCAAAACACTAATTCAAAGGAATATATGTACCCCTATGTTCATTGCAGCATTATTTACAATAGCCAAACTATGGAAGCAACCCAAGTGCCCATCAGTAGTTGGGTAGATAAAAAAGCTGTGGTACGCACCACCTGTGTGGCTCAGTGGATTGAGCCTCATCTCATAGACTGAGAGGTCCCAGTTCAATTCCCAGTCAGGGCACATGCCAGGGCTGCAGGCTCAATCCCCAGTGGGGGGTGGGGGTGTGCAGGAGGCAGCTGATTGATGTTTCTCTCTCATATCGATGTTTCCCTCTCTTTTGCTTCGTCCCTCTCTGAAATATCAATAAAAACATATTTGTTTAAAAATAAAAAAGCTGTGGTGCATATATGCAATGGAATATTACTTGGCCCTAAAAAACGAATACAATCTTACCATTTGCAACAGCAAGGATGGACCTAGAGGGTAAAGTGAGTCAGAGAAAGGCAAATACCATATAATTTCACTTACATGTGGAATCTGAAGAACAAAATAAATCAACAAACAAAACGGAAACAGACTCACAGATAGGGAGAACTGGTGATTTCTAGAGACAGGGCGGGTTTGGGCACTGTTTGAAAGAGGTGAAGGGACTAAGAAGCGCAAATTGGTAGCTACAAAATAGTTATGGGGAAGTAAGTAAAGCATAGGAAATATTTTGATAACTGTATGGTGCCAGTTGGGATACTGGAAATATCGAGGGGAACACTTAAATATCTGGTTGTCTAACCACTAAGCTGTACACCTAAATCCAATACATAATATTTTAAAATGTTGATGGGAAATGTCAGTTTGGTGAAGATGGAAGCAGGGTTCTGGGAGCACTTATTTTGGTAGCTCTCTACATAGGATAAATCAGTAGTAGGAGAATCTAGAAGCAGAAGTTCAAGACAGTAGATCACATGAAAATGAATGCAAGTTTGTACCAAGGTTGTCTCAGTGGGAATTGAGAGGAAATACACACAAGATGAATTGAAGGAATGTAAGCAGAGTCAGAAATCAAAGTAGTTTTATTAATTTAAATGTTTAATATTTAAAAAGTACATTAATATGAAGATAATTTTTATTTTGTGCATAGTTTTAGGATACCCATGGGATTGCCAGAAGAAGGTAGCCAGAGAAAACCAAGAAGTTGGAAATTTAGGACTGGTCCTCAGAGCAGTTTCTGTGAAAGAGAGAGATTGATATGATCTCCTGCATAGAGATCAAAGTTGTAGCCATGAGAGAGATTGTGTTGAAACAGATACCAAGTTCTCTTGGTTAGTTATGTGTTTAGAAATACTAAGAATAGGATTTCCACAACCAATTTTTATCCATCTTTAAAAAGAATTTTAAAATTCTATTTTTTATAAGTATTAAGGTTTGTATGTTTTAAATTTTGACATCATTTGCAAATAACAGGTTAAAAGAGCTGTATCAGACTCTAAGTAAATGTAAAATGTTGTTAGCAGATATTCAGTAGCTCTTGGCACTGCATTTCAATCTTGAATATTTATCTTTTAAAATCTTGTATGCATTAATTATGTTAATATGTTGATGTTTAAATAAGCAACTCACTTCAATCACAACTCATAAGTTTGATTCTTTTTTTTTTTTTTATCCTCACCCGAGGACATTTTTCCATTTTTTGTTCAGATAGAGTGGGAGGGAGAGAGAGAGAGAGAGAGAAAAGCATCGATGTGAAAGGGACACATCGAGTGGTTGTCCCCTGCACGACCCAACCAGGGCCAGGAACAAACTGCAACTGAGGTACGTGCCCTTAGTGGGAACTGAACCCGGGTTTCTCTGGACCGTAGACAGATGACCTAACCGCTGAGCCAAACCGGCCAGGGCAGTTTTATCGAATCTTAAAGGTCATATTTCTGGTGAAGGTGATGGCAGAGGGGAACAGTGACATGGATTTTACCACCACCCCAGCCACCGAAGTTGTTCAGAGAGTCATATTTTATTATTTTTGTTTATTCATTTATTTTTAATAAAGCCTTTTAAAAAAATCCTCACCTGATGATGTATTTATTGATTTTTAGAGGAAGGGGAAGAGAAAGAGAGAAACATCTATCAGTTGCCTCTTGTACATACCCTGACTGGGGATTAAACCTGCAACCTAGGTGTGTGCCCTGACTGAGATTTGAGCCCTCAGCTTTTTGGTGTATGGGACAACACTCCATCCAACTGAGCCCCACCTGGCTAGGGCCAGAGTCATAATTTAATTTGACAAATGAGAACTACTAATTCTTCTTTAGTTAGGTTGAAGTGAATTTGAAATGTTAAATTCCCTTAGATTACTACTGTATTTGAATGTACATTTATTTCTGGTTTTTCTAGAATATATATTAGGACAAAAACGCCAGAACTTTGTTTTCAATATGAATTTAAGAATGTGTTGCTATGATAAATAGAAAATGTTAATCTTTGTTTTTTCTTTTCAAACAGAAAAGCCTCCTAATAAAAGCAGTATGAGGATAGTAGTGGATTCAGAGTCAAGGAAAAGAACCATTGGTTCTGGGGAGCCTGGAGTTACTACAAAGAAGACTTGGTTTGATAAGTAAGCTGGCAGGGGAAATTGAGGAATTTTATTACTCAATAATTTTTAGGGTAGTTGGAGTATTATTATGACAGTATAATATTATTTTTCAAAATAAAATTTACAAAATTGTCTTCTGTAGGCAATACCCCACTAAAATGTAAGTTGTTTTCTAAAAATTTGTTAATTAGTTGTCTGGTAATTGGAAGGCATTTTCATGTAGAAATGGTGTAGTGGTTGAGGACATAATTTTTTCTTTCCACCCACCCCCACCTATTAAAAACACTACTTATGTTAGGGATATCATTGAATACTACCTGTATAAAGAGTAGTCGTGAGCTTGTTATTAGGGAAGAAAGTGTGGGTCAGGTCTGGGAGGAGGTGTTAGCCTGGGGGCAGTTTCTATTAAGAGCTAGAAAGGAATATTTTGGGGTGGGGTGGGGAAGCTGGATAGGCACTGAAGTTGTCATGGAAGGGCTTCAGAGAAAGAGGTAAAAAACCAGAATGTTGTGTTTATGATGGTTCATTTGTAAACTTTCATGTTTAAGGAGAGACTAAGATCACACATTTTTAGAGTTTTTTAACATCATGTAAAGGTAGGTAATTCCTACTTCTGGCTCTGCCTTTAATTCTGTGATTTAAGGCATGCATTGTAACCACTCTGGGCCATAGTTTTATCCTTTTTTCCCCCAAGTGTCAAATGTGTCTACAGTTCTGCCTTTTTTTTTAAGTTGGGAAGTGGTTGAGACAGTCATTCCTACCTTTTAATCAACCTTTTAAAATAGGGTACATTTCGGTAAGCTAGCTTTTTCCAGAATGGAGCAAGGGTTATGTATGCAAATTGACTGAAATAGGGTGCTAGGACCTTTCCTGTTAAGAAGTGTAAGTAGGAGTGGATTGAAAGTGCCAAGTACAGGTGATATGGAAGAACACTTCTCAGCTGGCTTCCATGAAAGACGAGAACACTATTATCTTTTCATTATCTTTTTCCGAAGACAATTTCAATTTTCATTATCAATCAGTAATTTCAGTTTTTAAAAAATAGAACTTACATAGTAAAACTTTATTTTTTTTGTACTTGATAGGGGTTAGGATATATACATGAATGTATTAATTAACTTGATTTTTGTTACAGACCAAATTTTAATAGAACAAACAGCCCAGGCTTCCAGAAAAAAGTTCAGTTTGGAAATGAAAATACCAAACTTGAACTTAGAAAAATTCCTCCAGAATTAAATAATATCAGCAAACTTAATGAGCATTTTAGTCGATTTGGAACTTTGGTTAACTTGCAGGTAAGATTTGTGATGTGATTCTGTTAAGAAAAATACTTTTATAAAGAATTATTTTGAAAAATTTGGTTATTTAAATTTGTTAAATTGGATATGAAATGGAACTTTTTGTATTTTAGATGTGTGATTTTAAATAACTTTTGTACTCTGAAAAGGCAGGAGTTTTGATTGATCATGTTATTATATACTTTTTACCCAGTAGAGGTTATCATAAAATTGTAGCAAAGTTAAATAATCACACTGGTAAACTATAATCTTATTGCAGTTTTTATTTCCTCAATTTCTTTTTTTTTTCCCTCACCCGAGGACAGTTTTGCATTTATCTTCAGATAGAGCGGGAAGGAGAGGGGGGAAGAGAGAGAGAGAGCGAAACATCGATGTGAGAGAGACACATTGACTGGTTGCCACCCACACTACCCCCAACCGGGGCCGGGGACAAACTGCAACTGAGGTACGTGCCCTTAGTGGCAACCGGACCCGGGACTCTCTGGTCCGCAGACCAACGCTCTAACTGCTGAGCCAAACCAGCTGGGGCTCATTTTCTTAATTTCTTAAAGTCATTACAACAAGATGATTTAGTTAGATTATTTTTGCTGCCTCTATGATGGGAGATGCATTTAAGAGATGGAGCCCAGATACCATGTAATCCATAATTAGCTTAAACATTTGCTTTTTCCTGTACCATTTTTCAAACTTTTTCAAGATAAATATTTGTGTAGTTTGTATTTGACGTCACCTAAAATTAGAGCTTGGTTTGGTGTACATAACTTGAGAGGTTATTTAGTATTGAGTTTATACTGTGTAATGTATGGAAAGTGTTGAAATAATGTTGTGCTTTTTTTCCCCAGTTTGTATGATGTTCTTCTCAATTAAAAGTATTTGCCATCATAAAAATAATAAATTTTAGTACCGCTTAAATGGATACATTTGGAAAATTTTGTTTTATTGCCATTTAAAAAGTAACATGAAATAGATGAAAAATGCATGCCTGCTTGTGGCGGGGCAGTAGAGATTTATATAGAATTTTTTAAAAGATTCACCCTGGCCGGTTTGGGTCGGCAGTTGTAGTGTTGGCCCGCAGAATGGAGAGTTCTGGGTTTGGTTTCTGCTAAGGGCAAGAAACTCAGTTGCAGGTTGGGTCGTGTAGGTGGCAACCACTTGATATGTCTCTCTTGCATCGATGTTTCTCTCACTTTCTTCCTCCTGCTCTATCTGAAGATAAATGCAAAAATATCCTCGGGTGAGGATAAAAAAAATATGATTTGACATCAACTCTTTGTGTCTCTTACATTTCTCTCCCTATTTATCCTCATAATACAGTTACATCATTGTTAACAATTTACCGTGTACTCTTCTAGATTTTTTTGTTTTGTATTTCTGTATCTGTTTACTTATATCAAACAATTCATACACATACTTAAAAATATATATATATATATTTGAAAGATATAGACCCATTTTTTACACATTACCCTGTAGTTATCTGTGAATATCTTTTTATGGCAATTTAATTGATCTGTCACATTTAGATCTAGACAAAAAAGTTGTCCAGAAGAAGAATAGAAAAGTTGCCAAAAAAGAATGTTTTTTTCCTCACACAATTACACTAGTAATATTAAATTTAAGAAAATTTTCAAAGCTGAGGGGCAGAACACGGTATCTCACTCTTGTTAAATTTACATTTTCCTAATTACTAGAGAGGTTGATTTTTCTCATGTCTTATATTTTTTTAGAGAGAGAGGAAGGGAGAGAGAGAGAGAAACATCAATGTGAGAGAGAAACATTGATTGACTGCCTCCTTACACCCCCATCCAGGGATGGAGCTCGCAACTCTGGCATGTGCCCTGACCGGGAATTTGACCCAGACCTCTCAGTCCATGAGACAGCGCTCAGTCCACTCAGCCACACTGGCTGGACTTTCTCATCTCTTTACTGGTCGTTTTGCTGTATCTGCATATATCTGTATTATTAGTTATACAATACATGTATTTTTAAGTAATGTATAATGATCAAAATGCTAGCTAAAATTCTTACCGCAAATATTTATTGAATACAGTACTGAATACTTACTATATACTCTCTGTTCTATATGAATTATTATTTAACTCTTAACACTGCAGTATGGTTATTGTTATCCCTTTTATGAAAGAGGAAACAGGTATCGAAAGGTTGAATAACTTTCTCATGTTCCTATGAGAGGAGCAGTCAAGCTTTTAGTCGGGCAGTTCCGTTCAGAGTCTGTGCTCTTTTTTTTATTCTTTACCCAAGGATATTTTTCTATTTATTATTAGGTAGAGTGGGAGGGAGGGAGAGATGTGATAGAGCTACATTGACTGGTTGCCTCTCACATGTTCTGACCAGGGCTAAGGACGAACCACAACTGAGGTACGTGTCCTTGACCGGGATTGAACCCGTGACTCATTGGTCCTTGGGCCAACGTTTTAACCTCTGAGACAACCTAGTCAGGGCCAGAGACTGTGCTCTTATTCCCTATTTTGTATTGCTTCACATCACCAGTAGTTTATATACCACACTTTGGAAAGTACTACTGTTGAAAGAAAAGAAATTTGAAGTGTAAAGCCTTGTATCAACCACTTATAATATGGGTCTACAGAATCATATACTCTTTGAATTTCAGTTTTCTTATGTGTAAAATTTTTATGTTTTTCTTACATTTTCTTGCACCCTTGGAAATATTTTAGTGAGAATTATAAATCTGGAAAATTTTACAGATGATGTTTTGCTATTTTTATTTTATTTATTTATTTATTTTTTTTATCCTCACCCGAGGACGTTTTCCCACTTTTTGTACAGATAGAGTGGGAGGGAGAGATAGGAAGAGAGAGAGAGAGGGAAACATCGACGTGAAAGGGACACATCGAGTGGCTGCCACCCGCACAGCCAACCAGGGCCGGGGACAAACTGCAGCCGAGGCACGTGCCCTTAGCGGAAACCAAACCCGGGTCTCTCCGGACCACAGGCGGACGCTCTAACCGCTGAGCCAAACCGGCCAGGGCTGTTTTGCTATTTTTAGTTAGAGATTACCCCTTGTAAAGTAGTTTACACTGTCTTCTGGCTCTGGATCTTGGCCAAAAGTTATTCATTGACAAAGATTATTTCTCATAGTCAGTCTTAATATTGGGGGTAAAAAGTGAAACATTTTGAAAGCTTGTATATAACATTTGTGCAAATGAGCATTCTCTTTTAAGTATCATATAGTGGAGGGTTTTGTTCCATTCTAAACAGTCCTCAGTTACTATTCTGGGGTGAAAGCAGGCTATGGTAGTAATCTAGATTTAAGGAATTATAAAGATAGAATCTTACTTAGAAGGATCAATATTTTATTTGTTGAGGAATTTTAATGTATGAGGTGACAGATTCATTTGGAAATTCATTGTTTTTAATATTTGACGTCTTAGGTTGCCTATAATGGTGATCCTGAAGGTGCCCTTATCCAATTTGCAACATATGAAGAAGCAAAGAAAGCAATATCAAGTACAGAAGCAGTGCTAAACAATCGCTTTATTAAAGTTTATTGGCATAGAGAAGGAAGCACCCAGCAATTACAAACTACTTCTCCAAAGGTAAGAGAGAAATTTGTGTGAAATTAAAAGCTCTTCTTAGAAACCTGTTAGAAAGCATAGTATTTAAGAGCAGAGGCATTGCAGTCAGGTAGACTGTTGAGTTTAGATTTTGTCTCTACCACTTTTAAATGTATAGACTTGAGGAAGTTACTTAATCTCTCTAAATTCTTCTCTCATTTTATTATAAAGTTAATCTCTAGTTTAAACAATTACAAGATGATATATGTAAAGCATATAGAAAAGTGAGACTTTTCTATAAGAGACATTCAGTACATGATAGCTTTACATATTCCACAAAGTCAGACTATGGATTCATCTTGGAAATCCTACCTTCCCTCCCTCCCTCGCTTTCAGTCAGTGAATCATTTAATGTGTAATATTAGATTAATTGCTTGTAGAACTGTCTTCCAGAAGTTGAACTTTCTCCAGTTCATTAAAAAAAAAAAGATAGGTGTAGATTTTAATTTTTTTCTCTATAAATAAGTTCTTATATGCAAAGGAAAACATCTTTTTTTTATTTTATTGTTTAAAGTATTACAGATGTTTCCTCCTTTCTTCCCCATTGAGAAAGCATCTTATGTGAAGACATTTGGAAGGTGACTAGGTTTTTAATACAAGGTGCACTTTTTTTTTTTTAATCCTCACCCGAGGACATTTTTCCATTTTTTGTACAGATAAGAGTGGGAGGGAGAGAGAGGAAGAGAGAGAGAGAGAAACATCGATGCGAAAGGGACACATCGAGTGGCTGCCACCCGCACGACCAACCAGGGCCGGGGACAAACTGCAACTGAGGTACATGCCCTTAGTGGGAACCGAACCCGGGTCTCTCTGGACCGCAGGCGGATGCTCTAACTGCTGAGCGAACCCGGCCAGGGCACAAGGTGCACTTTTAAGACTTTCTCTGCATGGGTAATTTAGTAACAAAATAACAAAGGTGACTTTCCAGCCTGGCTGGTGTGGCTCAGTTGGTTGAGTGTTGCCAGGAGCACCAAGAGGTCGCCAGTTCAGTTCCCAGTCAGGGCATATGCCTGGAATTCTGGCTCGATCCCCAGTAGGGGCATGCAGGAGGCAACCAATCATTGTTTCTCTCTCTCTAAAATCAATAAAAATATATATATATATTTTTAAAAGGTGATTTTTCATGCTCATGGACTACTAATCAGCTTGTTTAACTTTTTTTCTTGTCTGAGGTAATGCAGCCTTTAGTCCAGCAGCCCATTTTGCCTGTTGTGAAGCAGTCCGTCAAAGAGCGGTTGGGTCCAGTACCCTCAAGTACTGTTGAACCAGCAGAAGCCCAGAGTGCCAGTTCAGACCTTCCTCAGGTAACTAACTGCAGAGTCTTACTATTATGCCTGTACATAGTAGATTCTAAGTAAATTAGTTTCCTTTGGTGATTTGAATTATAATTAATTGTATATATTTTATACAGAAATAGAATAGTGTATACATATTTGAACTTCACCTGTGAATATTTTTATTACTATTATCATAACATTTTCACATTCTACTTTTTCTATAGTATTTGGATCTTAAATCCTTCTCTCTAGTTAATACTTATTTATAAGAAAGAGTTCTCTTTCACTTTGTGGAAGAGGTATTTTCCAGCAAATCTGCCTGAAAAGTTAAGTTCAGTATACTAAATCTTATTTTTCCCATCATCTTTTACTTAACTAAAATTCTATTCCAGAGATTATAATAATGCAGTAGGCCGAACTGAAAGCTTTTGGGACAGGAAGGCTTAATCCGTCAGGTTTTAGCATGCTTAATGTTACACTGATTCAGGTGACTTATGCAGCTCTCAGAACTTTGCATCACTTATTCCTGACTCTCGGATTTTCTTCTCTGTATGTCATTCCCTACCCACTCCCTTCCATACTTGAGTGGCAGTTTCTTATTTCTGCACCCTCAGTCTCTGAAACTTAGCTTTCCTTTGTCTCCAGATGTTTCAGCATTTGCTGTATAAAACAGTGTTAGCATATACTATCCCACTTAGGTAATGGTTGCCACCTTATTAAAATAGTCTTCCTGGATAATTCTTGAAATATTTGGAGATTCTATTTTAAAAAACACACAAAAAAACATGCAGAATGTAAATGGTAAATTATTAGTTACTTAAAAAAAAACACCCAATCCTATTATTCCAAATCATTAGCAAGTTCAATGTGGCTATAAAACAAATATACTTTAGGAAAGAATGGCTTTTATTTTTAAGCTCAAAACGCAGGCACCTCTTTTATTTACTCAGATCTAATATTTACAGTGTTCAGACTTTCTATTTGCCAACATAGGATTCTAAGAATTTATGATTCTGTATCAGTGGAAGGGACTTTAGCAACCACCTAGCTCAATCAAACATTTTATTTTACATCATAGTTTTTCATGATCAATACTGCATACTGTTTGTTTTTCCATATATATTTTCTTTCTGTCTCTATCTTTGAAACGGCCCAGGTTTTGTGATTAACATCAGTATACTTACAGAATCAGTATATGTTACTAGAATCAGGATGTTCATAATCCCAACAGACTTATATATGTTTGGGGAAACACTGAATATGTCCATTTTAATTTTTTTAGAATGTAACTAAATTATCTGTGAAGGACAGGTTGGGTTTTGTATCAAAGCCATCTGTTTCAGCAACTGAAAAGGTAAGAAGAAGCATGATGTGTTTGTCTTGGCTTCATAAATGTTTTCAGGTGGCATCTTAAGTTTTTAATTTTTTCATAGTTCCAAACTTTTGCTTCTTAATAGTGTCTGTATCTCTTATGCCTACCTTTTTGCTTTCCTTTTGCTGAAAAAGAAAAATATTTGCCTACTTTTTTACTTTTTGCATCAGTATTTTAATACTTGCCACTCACTAGTTTCCACGTGCTTCATTCTTTCTTTTTCTTTATGTTATATGTTCTTTAGAGATATTTTACATTTTATTTTGAATATTCTGGCAGCCTAATAGAGAGGGTCATGAACTAGGAATTGTACTTGAGTTTGAGCTTTGACTCTTACTAACTGCATGGTATTGGGCAGTGCTGTTAATCTTTATGAATCTTTTCTTCATCATAAAATGGTGATGGTAATATTTATATTGCTCATGAGGTTTTGTGAGGGATTAGATAAAATTTAAAAGTATTTTGTAAACTGGGAAAGATTATGTAAATGTAATATTTTTATTTATAATTAACAACTATTGTATAACAGCACATTTAGTCTTTTTTTTTTTTTTTTAAATAAAGGGACAAATGCTGATTAAGACTATTTATGGACCTGTCTTAAAGCTCTGTGTAGATGGGGTGTGTATGTTTTTCTGTTTAGGTATCAGTGAATGCCCTGATCATTAGTCTTATTTAGGATATATGGAATCACAGAATATTAGAATTAGATAATCTTTCCCATTTCTATACCCTCACGTTAAAGGAAGGTGAGGCCCACATAGTTTTTTGATTGACCTATATATACACTTGAGTTACTGAGCTAGGACTAAAATCTGGATCTCCTATTTTTAGTCCATGGCTCTTTCCATTATGAAGATTACACAGGAAATTGGCTTCATAGGTAAATAGAACACCCATGAGATAGCTGACCTGCTCTTTTCACTGTTTCTTCAGTGTATTATTTTCCTTATTTACTGTGTAAAACTTTGTCAGTTCTGGACATTTGAATATGAATCTCATCCTGTAAATCAGATTTTTCCTCGTGCATCTCAGCATTACTTCGGGCATAACATGCCTAAAATGATCCATTATTTCCCATATAAATTAATTTCTCCTCCTAGCCCTCACCTCTGGAAGTGGTACCACCAGTTTTCAGATTGTACAGTCTAAAAGCTGTTAGAGAGTCGTTTACTTGTGTTTGTAGTTCACATCTCTTTCTCTGCCACGTTCAGGGCCCTGGCCTGGGGATGCAGTGTCCGAGCTGCCGTCCCTCCTCTAGTGTCCACTGCACATCCTGCTCAGACTTCTAGTGTGAGCTGCTTACAGAGATCTCCATTTCCTCAGCTAAATGACCTAGCTTGGTTCACAGGTCATAATTCCTCAATTATTCTGGCTCTGTTGCCTCTGCTTTAGTCCTTTCTTTTCTAAGGAGTTTTTCTGCTCACTGTCCCTTGCTATTTCCTGCCTCTTTTTTTTTTTTTTTTTCTTTTTTTTTTTGTGTGGTGCTTTTCCTGGTCTGCGTTTCCCTCTACCCTAACTGAATTGTATTCATTCTTTTAAAGATTGAAAAAAATTTCTAACTTTTTCTATGAAACCTAATTTTTCCATATGATAACCCACTTTTCTCTAAGTTTGTGTTCTTTAGTCTATGCTACTAAATTTAGCAGTATGTAAATATTTACTTTGCTTAGGTTTATTTTCCTTGATAATGAGTAACTGAGGAGTAAATGAACAATATGAGGTCTTTTATACTTAACAGTTCTGGAGAGGTATTAAAACTTATGTTTAGGATCTGTTTATGTCAAAATTTGGACTCTGAAATCGAAGCATACTAATTATAGCTTTTACAAAACTTTTTGAAAATGTTTTGCTTACTGTTTTCATTATTGTTTTTTAGTATATTCTATACAGCTTTAGGATAAAAGGGGGGACAACTTGGAGTTGATAGTATAATTTACTAATATAGTTACCACTAATTGAATTTGAAAAATCATTAATGGCAGTGGGCTATTTATGAAAAAAATTACTCGAAAGCAATTATTTACAAATATATAACTTTCAGTCATCTTCAGTGAACCTGTTTAAAGAATAACATTTTATTTTTGCTTATTCTTGGTGATTCAGAGAGGTCTTAGGAAGAGTACAAGAATGTCCTCCATATCAAATATTACTAAATTTTTTTTTAATTGAAGTCAGGAAATTTCAAAACTACTATCCTTCCAGTATCTTCTGTCATTTTAAAAGCAAATAAATACACAAATGTAAAATGTTATCCCTTGTAAATAGCATCAAGTAAACCCTTTCGTGATTCTTCATTATTCTGAGTTTCCGTTTTTGTGAGAGGGCCTAAGAGAGAAGAAACTTAAAACCTGATCGATACAGCTAAATATTAAGATATTGCAGTAGCTATTAAGTAGATATTGTTTGAGTAGAGTGATCAGTCAGATGATGTTTGAGTGCTTCTGCTTCTGAAGAATAAAGGCATCTGCATATACCATCCTGGTTAGTTTTTTAAAAAAGATTTATACTGTTCACATTAAAGCCCTTCTAAATTTTGATAAGCAAGCTGATTAATCACTTGAATATTTAATCTGCTTACATCAGTTTTAGGTATATCAAACATTTGATACAGGATGCCATTGTTTCTTAGCATTATTTTTTTTTGCCATCTGAAAATATATCTTTTTTTTTTTTTTTTTTTTTGCATGATGATATATTAACATGTGTAACATGGAACTTTTATTTATCTATTTTTGTACCATGGAATTTCAAGAGGGAAATTGTATGGTATAATTGAAGAAACATTGCATGTCATATAGAAACTTATGCTGTTGAGATAGCTGTTGACGTGCTATATGATTCTGAACAAGTCTTACTCTTTGTTTCCTTAACTATATAAGTGTAACCTTTTAATTTTTAAATTTGTCTTTGTTGTGTAATTTTGCTACTTTAAAAAGAAAGGTTAAGGAAATCTATGACAGTTTTTAAAATTTTGATATTCTAAACACATTGGCTTCTGTCAGGATTACTAAAACAAGATTATTATCAAGATTATTTTTTCTCCAGAGAAATATGACTTATATCAAATTATTTACTATGCAGAATTTTCTGGGAACCAAGCAGTTGTAGCCAAAATTGATTACTGCTACACATTTTTTTCTTGATATTAAAGTATTTCTCTACAAGATCCTTAATCCTTTTGTCTCTCTTAAGCTATTTAGTATTATTAAAAAGAAAACTGTTAATCCCTGAAAATATTTTTTTTATTAAAAATTTTTTTTGATTGATTGCTTTTTTTCTTTTGAGAGAGAGAAAAACATCCATTTGTCGTTCCACTTATTTGTGCATTCATTGGTTGCTTCTTATATGTACCCTGATTGGAGATCAAACCTGCAACCTTGGCATATTGGGATGATGCTTTAACCAACTGAGCTACCCTGTCAGGGCCCTGAAAATGTTTTATAAATTTAATTTTAAATCATGTTGTTCTACCTAGTATCCCCAGATAATTAGGTTTTGCTATAGAAAACATATCTGTGACTATCATGAACGAACATTCAGATATATTGAAAAGATGATTATTTACTTAATATAATGAAAACGGACCATACAGCCCTGGTCAGTTTGGCTCAGCAGTTAGAACGTCGGCCTGTGGTCCAGAGAGACCATGGGCACTCACCTCTGTTGCAGTTTGTCCCTGGCCCTGGTTGGTCATGTGGGTGGAAGCCACTCGATGTGCCCCTTTCACGTCAATGTTTCTCTCTCTCTCCCTCCCCCTCTATCTGAACAAAAAATGGAAAAATGTCTTCAGGTGAGGATTAAAAAAAAACACCTGACTATACAGTAATCATATGAATAAGCTTCCTATACATAATTCCTCAGATACTGTATTTTTAGTGCATTTAAGCAAGTCACTTCTGCTCTAGTAACTTGTTAGAGCTAACTTAACTGTGAGTGTGTCTGTGAAGCGTTGTAGCTGTTTCTTTTGCATTTGATTAAAACTTGGGCGTTGCTTATTAAAACATGATACTTGGATAACTTTATTTGTAATAACTTCTTTTTGTAGTAATTTTTGCAAAATACTTTGTTTCCTTTTATTCTTATCCATGACAAAAATCTGTTTTTCTCTAAGTGTTCTACGAATAGTTATGGCTGGTAATGTTTTACATAGGAAATAAGATGAGGAGGTGTTAATGCATTATAACTTCTATCTTGTTAGGGAAATGGCCTTTGTCTTGAAAAGTAAGAGGGATTAATGATGTGTATTTTAACAACAAAGCATGTGATATTTTCAACTGATTTTTATGAATTCAATATACCTTTTTGATACCAAACCTGAAAAGAAAGGAAAATTACAAGCCAATGTCTCATAAACCATAGGCACAAAAATCCTAGATAGATATTAGCAAAAGTTCAGTGATATGAAAAATAATAATACACCCTGATCAGGTAGGTTTTATTCCAGAAATGCAAGGTTGTTTTAACTTTTGGAAACCAGTTTAATTCACCACATTAACAGAATAAAGTTGGGCTGGGGGATGGGAGGGTAAAATTCCATGTGATTATCTCAGTAGGAAAAACATGGTATTTATAACAGCATCATATTAAACATTCTGAAAACTAGGAATAAAAAGAAATTTGATGAATTTAACAAAATATATATGCAGAAAAACCCTACAGCTAACATACTCAATGATAAAATATTGAATGGTTTCCTCCTGAGATTAGGAACAAGAAAGGATGTCCACTCTCCCCACCTTTTTTCAGTAGTATAGGCTGCACCAGTACAATAAGGCAAGAAAAGGAAATAAATGACATAAAGATTGGAAAGGAAAATACAAAACTATCTTTACTAACAGATGACATGATTGTGTATGTAGAAAGTTCAAAAGAATTTATAAACAATTGGAATTAATAAGTGAATGAGATAAGGTCACTGGAAATTAGGTCAATATGTAAAAATACAGCACATACAGAAACCTGTTTGGAAAATTGAGAAGGTGTGATAGTTTGGAAAGACCACTGCAGGTGCTGTTACTGTGTTCTTAGGAATTGTAGCATTTTTTTCTGTTGGGTTTGTTACTTCCCTTCATTGGTTTCATTTTTAACAGATTTTCTTCTTCTTCTTCTTCTTCTTTTTTTTTTTTTTATCACAACTCTATCCTCATCTTTTGAAAATACAGATATATTTTGCAATCCAAACTTAACTGTCTAAACTCTGGGAGCAAATAGATTCAATAGTGAGTAATATCTGCAATCCTATAGTTCATTGTTTTGAAACATTCTATTTTCACACTTTACACCTCTGAAAATTGGGCTACATTTTAGTCATTGGTGTTTATGGTTGTAATTGGCAGCCATTTTTCTTTAGTAGGGGAATATAAAATGACGTGTTTTATACTCAGTGATGTCTTAAGTTCAAGTGTTAGCTGATAGTCTGTTTTTACTGAAGGAACTTCTTGGATAGAATAAGGAAGTGGGATATTTCTAGGAATAAAGGAGTCTTCTCATTCTTTCATTCATTTTGAAAAAGCACTGTTTAGTCTAATGTTATTAAAATAACTTTTGTCCCCAGCCCTGGTTGGGTTGTGCTGGTGGCAGCCACTCGATGTGTCCCTTTCATGTCGATGTTTCTCACTCCCCCCCCCCCACACACACACAATCTCTATCTGAACAAAAAATGGAAAAATGTCCTCGGGTGAGGATAAAAAATAAAAATAGAAAAAACTTTGAAAAGGAGATTTCCCTATTCATTGAAATTGGAGAAATGCTTACTTATGTAAAGAAATAATTTCTTTACTTCTGGTTTTCTCACAGTTCTTATGCTAAAATACATTTTGAAACTAGAAAATATGCTTATGATATTCGTTATTTCCAACTGATTTGAGTACAGAAATCTTTTTTGGTGTAACTTTTCAACTTGTTATGGAACTCTCATGAAGAAAAGTTTATGAAACACTCAAGCTTCATTTTCAGCAGATTACCTTGTTTTCTCCCTTCAAAGTTATTGTCTCATTTATGTAATCATACCGTTCGCATTGAGTGGTGTGGTAAGGTAGCATGGAGTAAATTTTTTTTGTCAAGAATGGTGACTGAAGTTAGACTACAAACTAAATCTGTATTATTCTATTTTACTGAATAAGCCATCTTATATTTGTTAGGGATATCTGACTATTAGTTTTCATTATTGCAGAAAATTATCAGTGACATTTGATGTACATCAAGTATTATAAAGAACCTTTATAAACATCAGTTGTGCTATATGGAACAAATATAATTACAGTTTTCTGGGATTTTATTTTATTTAGAAGCTAGCATTCTTGAATAATAGGAATAGTGATAAGTTACCTAAACTTAGTGATGTTCCTTAATCTTATTTCATGATAAAAGATTACAGTGCAGTGTCCAGATTGCTACTTCTCTGGTACCCAAATATTTACATTTAATTTTTAAATTATTTTATTTTTTCCATCACCATTTATCCCCTCTATTCCCTCTGCCACCCCCTCACCTGTCCCCACCACACTATTGTTTATGTCCATGAGTTCTCTCTTTTTTTTTCTTTTGCTCAGTCCCTCAACTCCCCATCTCCCACCCCACGTGCACCCCTCCACTGTGAGCTGCCTGCCTGCTCACTCTCTCTGAGTCTGTCTCTATTTTGCTTGATAGTTCAGTTTGTTCATTAAATTCCACATGAGTGAAATCATATAGTACTTGCCTTTCATCTTTCTCTGACTGGCTTATTTCATTTAGCATAATATTCTCCAAGTCCATCCATGCTGTTGCAAAGGATAACATTTTCTTCCTTTTTACAGCAGAGTAGTATTCCATTGTGTAGATGTACCAAACTTTTTTTATCCACTTATCTACTGATGGACATTTGGGCTGCTTCCATATCATGGCTATTGTTAAGTAACGCTGCATAGGGGTACTATATTTTTTCGAATTAGTGTTTCATATTTCTTCAGATATATTCCCAGAAGTGGAATCACTTGGTTATAAGGCAGTTCCATTTTAAATTTTTTGAGGTAACTCCATACTGCTTTCCACAGTAGCTACACCAATCTCCATTCCCACTAACAGTGCACTAGGGTTCCCTTTTCTCCACATCCTTGCCACCACTTGTTTGTTGATTTATCGATAATGGTCATTCTGACAGATGTGAGGTCATAATCTCATTGTGGTTTTAATTTGCATTTCTCTGATGATTGGTGACATTGAGCATCTTTTCATATGTCTATTGGCTATTTTTATTCCTCTTTGGAGAAGAATCTATTCAGGTATTTTGCCTATTTTTTAATTATATTGTTTGTTTTTTTGGTGTTGAGTTTTATAAGTTCTTTATAAATTATGGATATTAACCCCTTATCAGCTGTGTCATTGGCAAATATGTCCTCCCATTGTTGTTCTATTTTGTTGATGGTTGTTGATGGTTTCCTTTGCTGTGCAAAAACTCTTTAGTCCCATTTATTTTTTCTTTTGTTTCCTTGTCTGAGGAAATATATCATAAAAAATACGGCTACAAGAAATGTCTGAGATTTTATTGCCTAGATATTTATCCAGGTATTTACATTTTAGTAGCTAGAAAGTAGTACTTTTTTCTCATTGATACTCTTCATTTATATGGTTTTTAAATCTCTTTTTATATCATGAACTCCTTTAAGACTTTGGAAGCTATGTTTTTTCCTCTGTATAATTATATTCTTCATATATATGGTTTCATGTTTTGTTTTTATAGCATTCATAGATGTTCCTGAAGGGATCTCTAGACTCCTTTTCAAGAACCAATAACCAACCACCCTATGGAAATTACAACTTTTTATTTTTGAAGGATAAAAAAGGAGCCCATACACTTTTCTTAACGTGACCCTTGTGTGGAAAAGGTTGTTTACTCAGATTTATTATCATTTCAGTTTAATATAGTGCAAAGTGTTTATTTAATGTTTATGAGGTGCCCTGGCACTGTTCTAGGCACTAAAGATATAGCAGTGAACCAAGCCAAAATATCTACTCTCATGGGTTTGTTAAGGACATTAGATATCATCAAGTTGAACTTTATTTTATAGATAAACTAAGCCCCAAAAGGTAATTAATTAATTAGTAGAAAGGATGAGGTACTGGAAGAAGTGCAAAGAGGAGAAAGACATGATTTGTGTTTCAAGGCCCTTACAGTGTAGACAGGGAAAGAAACAAGTTAACATATCATCAGGTAATTTTTACTAAATACTTTTTAACAGCTATAGGAATAAAATTTCATAGAAGGACCTAGATAGAAAAAATAAATGATTAGGACTTTGTGGACAGCGTGGCTGGTTGTGCTGAACCTGACTTGAGTTTAAGGGAATGAGATCACTTGAAGCAGAAGGACCAATGCTAGCAAAGGAATGGAGAAAGAAAGCAACTGAGTTCATTTCTCACCTGTAAATTGCATATGATCATGAGGGACAAACAATTGCAAATTGTTTGAGGGACAACATCCAGTTTTCTCCTGTGCCATGTTCTTATGTACAAATTTTGCTTTAGTTAGTAGGAATACTAGTACATATATTGAGCAACTAATGTTTTCTCTGATATAGAAATGGCAGTGTTTTTTCTTGAAGTTTTTGTTTGTTTTTTGCTTTTTTTCCCTTATAGGTATATTAATTCAAAATTTTTTTATTTCAGAGTTTATCCATCATTCATAACCTTCTTTCAAATCAATAAATGATTTAGTTATTATATGTATATAATACATTTAGTTCTATGGGCTAAATTCTGACAGAAGTGCTTTAACATTTTATAAGAAAACAGGACTTAGAAAATCATGAATGCTTGATACATGTTTTACAAAATTGAATTTTATTGGTAGGTGTTATCTACATCTACCGGCCTAACAAAAACGGTATATAATCCAGCTGCTTTGAAGGCTGCACAGAAAACCTTACTTGTTTCCCCTTCCGCAGTGGATAATAGTGAAGCACAGAAAAAAAAGCAGGTCAGTACAACTATTATTGTACAGAATTTGCATGTAGGAAAGCTTTTCTTCATGTGTGTGTTTTTCAATGCCCATAACAAAATGGAACTAAAACAAGTATGTTGGCTGCTTTTATTTCCCATGGTGTAGCAGTAAACATTACTTTTTATCATGGAATGAAAGGTTCTCCTGATGTTTTAAAACTTGCATACATATTTAAGTTTTACATAGGAAAACTTTGTATTTAACTTTTTTTGCCAAACTTCTGCAGTTACGACCATTTCTAGCCTCTTGAATCATTTTATCAGAAAAATAACCTTTAAATATTCTAATGATAGTTCTGATCCCTTTTTCTAGGAGGCACTGAAACTTCAGCAGGATGTAAGGAAAAGAAAACAAGAAATTTTAGAGAAGCACATTGAAACACAGAAGGTAAAATATTGAAGCTAGATTTGGCAAAATATATTTATAAATGTTACAATTTTGAGTGAATTTAATCTTACAGTATGTAGATATTTTTGAGGAACATAATTAATGTAATTGGTAATGGTAAAACTGAAATATTATCAATGGTAAGTATATTATCAATTGATAGTATATTGAGGTGAAGAGCATACATTAAATGGTGGATTTGGAATTTGAGTAGTTTAAATGGAACTATAGTTATCAAATTTGAGATGAAAATAAATATTTATGGAGATGTATTGCTGTGCAATACTTTTTTTAACAGATAGTGAAATGGAACCTTTTTCTTAATATTGAGATATGGACCTTTATTTAATTGGTTTGGGATCTTCTATATTATATCCTATATTACCACATCTGCCTGTTATTTACTTGAACTGTGTCTAGTCCAAGTTAAGATATACTGTGAGTGTAAAATACATACCAGATTTCAAAGATGTAATATGAAGTAAAAAAGTAAAACATCTCAATAATTTCTGCTGTAATGTAACATTTTGAATATATTTGGTAAAGTAGAATGTATTATTAAATTAATTTTACTGTACTTTTTTTTTCTTTTTAGAGTGACTGCTAGAAAATTAAAAATTACATGGCTTACAGTATTTCTTACATCATTACTCTAGTTTATGATATTATTTTAGTGTAAGTTCTTGATCATGTCTGGTAATTAAGATTATAACATTTCAAAATACTGAAAATACAGAAACTATACATTTTAATTTAAAATGTATGTTTCTTATTTTAAATTTGGATATGCTTGATAAAGAGAAGTCATAATGCTTTACATCAAAAACTGAAACCATCTTGACTCAAGAGAACCTATAAGATTGTGTGGTATCTTCTACCCCATAATACCCTGTTTATCTTCTTGTTTCTTACTCATGTTGGGGATATTATTCCTACGCTGGCCAGGTACTGTTTTCCTGTGATGACGAAAGTACTTAAACATTTCATTTTCCTAATACCTCATTATATGAAAGGAAAGCAGAATTTTTTCTGTGATTTATTCTGAATACAGACTCCATTTGGAGCCAGGAGTACCTAGAGATGGGAGTACTTAGTTAGAGTCAGTAATATCAACAAGTGGATTAGAAAGTAAAATTGTTAATATTATTTCAAATTGACTTTTCAGGGATTGAATTGAATTTCTTGTATTCTAAGAGACTCAAAGAACTGTAATACTGTAGTTCTTTACAAAGTAAACCAAGATTAAGGCTTGAATGGAAATGGTTAGCATCACTAGTCTGCTATTTTAGTGGTTGTAATCCTTATTGTGAATACATAAACTAAAAGTAGTAGATATTTATTTTATATTTAGTTTGCTGTTTTGTTAATAGGAGTGAATATTTTATATTTTTCTCTTTTTAACAATTTGGCAGATGTTAATTTCAAAATTGGAGAAAAACAAAGCAATGAAGTCTGAAGATAAAGCAGAAATAATGAAAACTTTAGAGGTTTTGACAAAAAATATAACTAAGTTGAAAGATGAGGTCAAAGCTACTTCTCCTGGACGCTGTCTTCCAAAAAGTATAAAAACCAAGACTCAGGTATTTTAATTTGTATTGTTTTTCATATTAATTAATAATATATACTTAATGTATACTTAACTTATAACTACTTAAAAAACATTACAACACTACCTTGTTTAAGATTCATTTTTCTTTTAGGTAATATCCTTTGCTCAAAATCTGACCATTGTATGCTACCATTCTCCCTGTCCTCCATTAACGATTAAGTAAATAAATACTCTCCCAAACTTTTGAATCCTGCGGATTACAGTTGGAAAGTCAGTAATTATGAGAATAGTTTCTGATAATCTTGAAATGGTAGCTTGAAGACAAAGTGATATAAGTACTTGAATGTGTGACTGAGGAGTTTGAGCTTTATTTTGTAAGAAGTTTGTGGTATAAAACATTAATGAACAAAGAAGTAATATTCTGACAGCACTGTACAGATTTATTGATTAAACAAAGGGAAAATTCATTAGATAGCAAATAAATGAGCAAGTTAATTTCAGGTGGTAATAAACGATTAAGGAAAAAACAATTACATACAATTTTTAAGCTTGATATGTGTGTACATGTATAAAATCATTAGTTCCTATTGATATTTCTGATTCTAATCCAACACCACATAGTTCTTCCTTTTTTCTCTTATTTCTTTATTTTGTTCCCCTGTTCCCATGATGACAGCTTGCTTTCCACTAACATCAACGCAGTACTCATGTCCTCAGTTCTGTAATACATTCCAAATAGCCTCAGAATTGCTACAACAATACCACTTCCAACAACTAACTAAATATAAAATTTGTAATTTATTTGCATTCTTTATAACCTCACTAATATTCCACTAAAGGTATAGGAATCAGAACTGTGATCTAGGATTACATTTTGTGTGGTTATATTAATTAATTTGATAAAGTTGAGTGTATTTCTGTATGTATTCAATTTTGGATCTCCTTCATTCTTGCTGATTTAATTTTATTTTTTGAATATGTACAATATTAACATGATTCAAAAGTTAGACTATAAAAAGGTATATATAGAAAATCTTTCCTCTTTGATTCCTGACACTGTTCCCTATTCTTCCTTCCTTGGTGTGTGTGTATTTATGGATTCTTTCCTACATAAAAGCATACTATATATTGCTTATTAATACCTTCGCATTTTGTTTTTCTTTCAGTTATTTCTGGAAAATTATTTCATGTCAGACCATAGAAATCTCTGGCTTCTGTATGGAAAATGAATTATAGGAAAATCAGTGGAAATAGGAATAAGTTAGGAAGCTGTTAACAGTAGTATAGACTAGAGATGACTGATGTCTTGGACTAGGGTGGTAGGACTGGAGACAGAAGAAATGTATGGATTAAATGTGAATTTGTAAAAGTTCTTTTTAAACAAGTTTTGTATACAGGATATTAATTATTGTCATCTAAAATATTAATTACTATTTTCTAGATGCAGAAAGAATTGCTTGATACAGAGCTGGATTTATATAAGAAGATGCAAGCTGGAGAAGAAGTTACTGAACTCAGGAGAAAGTATACAGAATTACAGCTGGAAGTATGTTTCATCATAGCTACACTGTGTGCTAAAGAGGAGCAAATGTAGTTATGGTGATTAGTTTGAAAAGACATTCTCATTCTAGTCAACAATTCTTGGCAGTCTCTGGCAAATATATTGGGAATTGATACAAGAAAGAGGGAAGAAGTTAACAAATTTTTCAAAGCTAGTAGAGAAAGTCTTTTATATAATGAGGGATGGCAGCAATTCTACCTAAACACCCATGTCCTTTCACTTCTATTGGATTTTGTTACTTTTCTCTTTTTGGTCTGTCCTTTTCCCTGCATCAGAATTTATTAAAGGCTTTACAGGTATTCTTTCAGAGATATCCTATGCATAAATAGGCATATTAAGTTCTGTAAGGATTAGACTTCTAGTGGTAGAATTACATCAAAGAATATGCTTACTTACGTTTTGCCTATAGATGGTGCTGTGGATGTTTATAAAAGAAAATAAACTACTTTCTTAATAGTCATATGATTACTTATATTAAAAAAAATCAAGTGAAATTGATTCCTATACATGAGTTTTTAACATTTAGCACAATGATGTTTAAAAATCAGAATTATATTTTTATAAGTATGGAGACTTTCATGTCATTAATTGGTACTTGTCTTTATCATTGTTTGATGCCACAATTTTTTATATTTTAAATGATTACTTTTGCTTAATCTGAGAATATTTTTTTCCAAATTTGTTAGCAACTTGATCATCTTTTTCTGACTAGTACACACCTATGTTAAGTACTGGCATACAGGTATTAAAGGTTTAACATTTAGCTCGGCTGGTGTGGCTCAGTGGTTGAGTGTCGACACATGCACCAAGAGTTTTCAATTCCTGGTCAGGGCACAAGCCCAGGTTGTGGGCCCAATCCCCAGTGTGGGACATGCAGGAGGCGGCCAATCAATGTTCTCTCTCACTGATGTTTCTCTCTTCCTTCCTTCCTCTCTCTCTAAAATCAATAAGGAAAAAAGTATTAAAAAACATTTTTTAACATTTTTAGCAGTCACTATGTTTGTCTTAAGGCTCTAGCTTCTCTATCAGTCATAAGAAGCTATAAGATGGTATCCTAAATTTACTTGTGTGTTCTGCCCAAAGTAACAGGTTTTGGAAAAGATAGATTTCTTCTATGTTAATATAGAAATTGTATTTTCTCAATATTGGAGATGTGATGCCTTGTGTTGGTGGGACTTTAAAAAACAAATTATAATTTCAAAAATTTTGACTCATAAATTTAGTAAATAAATAATAGTATTATCAGTATTCTTATTAATTTATGTTTTAGTTCTTTATTGTGACATAGCTAAACACTGAATAATATTTTCTGAGCTTTTTGTTTTGTTTTATTTTTTGTAAATATTTTTTCTAAACTTTAGTTTGCAGTTAGTACAGACAGGAATGCAGTGTTTCCCAGAGTGTGGTCATTCATCACACCAATTCCATTTTTTGTTAACAGATATTAGTGAAAAAAGCTTCGAGGCCAAATAAATTTGGAAAAGGTTATATTAAACATGATTTTTGACTATTGGGTTTTTTTAGAGGCGATTTTAATTTGTGACTCTTTAAAAATACATATTAAATACTCAGTATTGCTTAAACATATTTGTTCATGGACTCCCTTTTTCAGGGACCACTTTGTTCTTTAGGGTACTGTTTAAACTGTTTTTTTGTTTTTTGTTAATCCTCACCCGAGGACATTTTTCCATTTTTTGTTCAGATAGAGCGGGAGGGAGAGAGAGGTAGAGAGAGAAACATCGATGTGAAGGGACACATCGAGTGGCTGCCACCCGCACGACCAACCAGGGCCGGGGGCAAACTGCATCCAAGGTACGTGCCCTTAGCGGAAACCGAACCCGGGTCTCTCTGTACCGCAGGCCGACGCTCCAACCGCTGAGCCAAACTGGCCAGGGCTGTTTAAACTGTTTAAACAATTACCCAAACCAAAAATCTGAGAGTCTTCATTGATTCCTTCCTTTCCTTCAGTATTCATATCCAATTAACTACCACATTTTATACATGTTACTTTCAAGTATATCTTAAATCTGTTTACTTCTTTATCTCCATTACCACCACTATAAACCAACAGTCTTCAGTAGCTTGGGGTTACTGTACTGACAGCTGATTGGAATCTCAGCTTGTTCTGTTCTTCCTTCTCTGTTCTTAAGACTCTAGCCAGAATAACATTTTTGAACCCTGATTTGATTTATCACTCTACTTTTCTGCTTTAATATATTTTTTAAAGATAATTCTCTTTAAAAAGAAAAATGTTTTTATTGTTTTTTAGAGAGGAAAGGAGAGGGAGGGAAAGAGAAAAACATTGATTGGTTGCCTCCTGCACACCCTCTACACAAGACCTAATGTGCCTTGACCAGAAATCAAATTGCCAATCTCTTGGTGCATGGGACTGTGCTCAGCCAACTGAGCCACAACAGCTAGCGCTCTGCTTTAAATATTTCAATTGATTTTCATGGCTCTTGGGACAAAATTTAAAATCTTTAATGTGGTTCTTAAAGTTATTCATGATCTGGCTCTGCCTAGTTCCTCCATCTCATCTCTCCAGCCCATGTGGTCATTTGTTCTTTGAAATACTATGTTCCTTTCAGCTCTGGTTCCTTTGTTTGTGCTGAAACCCTCACCCCTTATCCTTGCCTTGCTTGTTCTTTGTTCTTTCTTTGATTCATTAAATAAACAAATATATTAAGTATCTACAATCTGCCAGCTACTATTATATATGCTGGGGATAAAGTAGAGAATAAAACGGGGGAGAATATCCTTACTAAACTTTCATTCTAGTAGTTTATTTATTGCAAATCTTAGTGTTCTGTACAGATCTTTAGTATTCTGTACTTCATTTTTTGAGTCACTTCATTAACATAATCATATAATATAAACTTATTTGCTTGATGTCTTTTTACCCCACTAGAATTTGATTTTCATGAGGGTAAAGATTTGTACATAGGAAGTATTCATTAAATATATGTGGAATGAAAGAATGGTGTGCTATTCAGATAGAATGATGTGGTGGAATATAAGTTACTATGCAACATTGGTTGTATTATGTCACTGTACATGAACAAATGGATGAATTTGAGATAACTACTGAAGTCAACAGGGAAACAAATAGAAACACTGTATTTGAAAGTTACAAATGGGAAAATACATTTATTGTGTATGTAGGTATTTTATATCTATGTATTAAACTGACTTCTGAAATAACACTGTATTATTTGGAAATCAAGAATTGCTAGCCTTTTTGTGATAATGTCTGATATCTTGGAGGATAAGAACTTAGTAGAGAAAGCACATTTAATAATTTCAAAATATTGCTTGAATTAATGTTATTTTGTTTTCTAAATTTATTAATTACATAAATTTTCTTTCACTTTAAAAACTAAAACCCCAGCATAAATTATGAGATCTTTTTATAAGGCATTATTTGAATATGATATCAAATTGTATAAAAGTTTGACTAATCTGACAAAGTACAGCACTTGGCTTGTGTTGGTTATTGTGATGTTTAACTTGTGTGTCTAATTTTTTCTAGGCTGCAAAACGAGGGATTCTTTCGTCTGGTCGGGGTAGAGGAATTCATTCAAGAGGTCGAGGTGCAGCTCATGGCCGAGGCAGGGGTCGAGGTCGAGGTCGAGGTCGAGGTCGAGGTGTGCCTGGTCATGCTGTGGTGGATCACCGTCCCAGGGCCTTGGAGATTTCTGCATTTACAGAGAGTGATAGAGAAGATCTTCTTCCTCATTTTGCGGTACTTTCTTACTGACCAACAAAACAAATACTGATAATCATTGTTGGGGATAATGAGTATATTGATGGAGAAATTATGAAAGTGACATGAGTAATGTAAACTCATTAATTTGACCAAAGAGTTTGATTAATTTATAATAGCATTATATTAATTATTAAAAAATAAGCTGTGGGGCCCTGACCGGTTTGGCTCAGCAGTTGGCGCGTTGGCCTGTGGACCAGAGAGTCGGGTTCGGTTCCCGCTAGGGAGCACATACCAAAAAAAAAAAAAAAGTAAAAAAATAAGCTGTAGGGTTTTTTGTTTATTATCTGGAAGAAATGTTACAAATACTACAATTCTTACACTTAGTGGACCTTCAGGTATTGTGAAATGAATGATTTAAACTATTGCTTTAGAGAGGGAAGTCCTATAGTTTAGTTTTATTTGATACTTATTTTTAAGGAAAAATTTAACACATTGCATGGTTCATCCAGATTTTTAAAATTAAGATGGAATTTTATTTGTTAATATTGTATTCTAGATCTAGCGAACCTAGAAATGAAACTGCTACTGGTCCCAGTGGATAAAAATTATAGGTTAAAACTTATATAGAGCACTTCTTTTTTGGGAGGCATTATTTTGAGTGCCTTATATAACTCGCCATTTTATGAATTATCTTGACAACTCTAGGTAGGTACCTTTATCGTGCTTATTTTAGAGATGAGGAAAATGAAGCAGGAAGAGATTAAGGAACTTACTCAAGTTTACACAGCTAGTAACTAACAGAGCTTAGATCTGACTGATTCTAGAGTTCATTCTGTTTACTGTGCTCCACAGAATTTTTTTTTGTGGAGTGTGTGTGTGCATTTAATGTGATCATGCTTACAATTTTATTTTGGGTTAAGAAAGAAGGAAGGTATTAGTAATGATATATAAAGGACTATAATTTTATGATAAAAGTTGCTGTTTGTAGAAAAATCCTCCTATACATTTAAAAAATAAAATCCAGCAAACCAAAACAGGCATAATTTCATATGTTTAGTTTTTAAATGTCTTAAAAGTGTGTGTGTGTGGTCTAGAGGAGTCCATAGACAGTAAGTGAAAGCAGGGTCAGAAGATCTGGACTCTAACCCTGGTAATTAGCTCAGTTATGTTGGGGAAAATTACTTAAGTTCTCTTAGTCTTTTTCACCCCCATCTTTAAATTGGGAATGATGTAAAACAACAACAACAACTCAGAGTATTCTGAGTATTGAATATTCTGCTTTAGAAAGAATTTAGCGTATTCTGGGATCAAAGTAAGGAGTATAAAAGGAAAGACAATAAGGAAACTCAGTTTTGATCATTGTTTCCTTTATTTAAAGAATAGTTTAATCAATTACAAATTTTCTTTATTCTAGAAAGTGTAGAATTGTACATTGTATTTGGAAGATAGGACTACCCTGTATCTTATAATATTAAGTACTAAAATGAATTATTCATCATTTTTTCTGACAATCAACTATGAATTGTTATAGAGTCTCAGTTATATTTTGATATTTTAATGTTTTAAAAAACCATTAGGATTTTGATATTTCAAAATATTTATTTGGAGGAAATATTGTTTTTAATTTAAAGCAATATGGTGAAATTGAAGATTGTCAGATTGATGACTCTTCACTTCATGCAGTAATTACATTCAAGACAAGAGCAGAAGCTGAAGCAGTAAGTATTACAAATAATCTAATTTACTGGAGATTCAGATTTAAATGTTTTGTAAATCTTTTAAGTTTTAATATAAATGAATTTTTAAACTTAATAAATAAGTATACTTTGACAATAGATAGAACATATGAAGTAGCATTCATGGCCACAAAGAATGTTCTATAAAACTTGATATAATCACAATATATAGTCATCAAGTTGAATGTCAAGTTGTATTGTCATGAGACACCGGGAATTCTTTCTTTCTCTTTCACAGGAGATAGGGCCACCCCACTTTCCATTATTCTTTTTCTCAGATGGCCCAGAACAAAGTCTTCTTTGGCAGACTGAGGGATTAGTGATACGGTAGAAGAAGCTGAGGTATAATCCTCATGGCTGCCCTTCTTAACCATCCTTCATCTGCTGCTACCTAGTCCCAGTTGGCTGAACCCTAAAGAAGTGTCCCTTGCTCAGTGTACACCCAACTAAACCTCTACAGCTTTTTGCCCAAGACATTATATAAAGAAAGCTCTAGCTTTTAGGGTCTTTTTTGTATAGTTGTTTTAAATTATGTATCTTGAATTGTCTTTCCAAACAATGACCAGAAGTATATGCAACCTTGTCTCTATTCTGGGTTTAAAAGATTATAAAAGGAAAATGTGTATGAGGTGTGAGGGATTTATAGGACCTACCTTTTAAGCCTTGTGTGTTCTTTGTTCAGAATTTTAGAGAATTTTGTCCTTAGAAAAAATTCATTAAATATTCCAAAGAATTAATCTAATGTGAATGAAGAGTTGGATGATTTTCAGAAGTTTTAAGTTGATTGTGGTATAAATAAGTTTTGAAAAACCTTCTAAAAATTGATTTATCCTTTTGGTACCATTGCCATCACAGTAGTACATATTGGAGTTTACCTGGTAGGAGTTGCTCTTGGGGCATTGTACCCAATAAAAGTGTGTGTCTGTTAAGTTGCAGAAAAGTGTTCATCTGAGCCCTGGAATAACCTAGTTTCTAGGTTGGTGGGGTGGGAATTCCTTATCCTAGAGTTCTATTTTTATAAATCTAGCTTTGAGTAATCTTATTTAAGGATCTTTCATTAAATGATGGCTTCATCGATAATTTTCAGTGTAATGTTAGATAGGTAGCTGAGTTCTATTTACTTTACAAGAAGTTGTCACATAAAACAATGGTAGTTATTGTATAGATGGTTAAAATATTGTATTGCCAAGTTTGTGGATTTAATAACAAATTTAAAAATAGATGTACTTGCCCTGGCTGATGTCTCGGTTGAAGCATCATCCTGTACACTAAAAGATGGCGGGTTGATTCCTGGTAAGGGCACACATTCAGGATTCGGGTTTGATCTATGGTCGGGAAGTATACAGGAGACAGCCAGTCGATGTTTCTCTTTCACATTGATGTTCACCACCCCTAACAAAATCAGTTAAAAATATAATACATAAAAATATGTGAACGATTTTTTTTTTGCTGAGGGGCAAAAAACCTCTTGCCTTTTAAATAATTTTTGGAAGTTTAAATAATTTTGTCCTTGCTAAGACTTACTGACATCTGCCTTCTGTTTTTTAAACAATTTTTTTTCTCATTATTGATTTTAGAGAGAGAGAAAGGGAGAGGAAGAGAGAGATAGAAACATTGATGAGCGAGAACATCAATTGGCTGCCTCCTGCATGACCCCCACTGGGGATTTGGCCCACAACCTGGTCAGGTGCCCTGACTGGGAATACAACTGGCGACCTCTTGGTGCATGGGTCGATGCTCAGTCACTGAACCACAACGGCCAGGATTTCTTTCTGTTTTTAATCCTCACCCAAGGATACCCTTCCACTGATTGATTTTTACATAGAGTGTAAGGGACGGAAGGAGAGAGAAAGAAACAAACATTGATGTGAGAGAGAGACAGGACCCCATGTGAGGGCCTACCTTCCAACCTCTGAGCCAAACCAGTCAGGGCTGCCTTCTTTCTTGAGTCTTGTTTTTTGTACCTCAGATGTATATTATGTATATGTATATGTATATGTATATGTATATGATGTATTTATTTTCTAATGAATAGCAGTGAATTCAAAAGACCAGGGATTAATATATAAGAAAGACTTTAACACTGAGTAAGAGACAAAATAACTTTGGTTAAGTTAGATCTAATGAGATTCACCTTCTCAGGGTAGATACCATTTTAGTTGGATTTACTGAACAGACCAAAAGGAAAAACTACTATTGCTGTGATAAACATTTGGAATTGTTATAGAAGTGCTTAAATCATGGACTTTCCCTTAAACCATAAAATTTCTTTAAATTTTGTAACATTCTATTTCAGAATAGAAAATTAAGTTGAAGCTTATCTTGTAAAGGTAGAATATAGGCTAAAGCAGTGGTTTTAAACATCTGAATTTTGGGAAACATTAAGTTTAGAAATTTAAAAATTAGTGTGTTTAAAATAAGGGTGCTGCATTTAATTTTGTCAAGGAAGAGTGCTTAAAAAGTACAAAATTTTGCATTTATCATCACCATCATTACATAAAATAAAGGACATTTTAACACCAAAATGTAGATAAAGTCAAGATGAAGGATAGACTTTCTGAAGAAACTTGTCAACCTTTGCTAATGTTTATTTTCAATTTTTTCTTATTTTCTGAACTATTGTTATAGATGAATGAATGACTGTCTCTCTATTTTCTATAGTAAATAGATGCATAATATTTCAAAGTGAAGGTACAGGAATAAGGTAATTGAGACATTCAAATATAACTGAAAAGTGAGAAATTTTTCCTAGGAAAAAGATAACAATATTTTAAAAAATAATAATGTGACTAGAACACTTTTAGCTTTAGGTTAAGATGGTTATGGTTTGATTCTGGTTACATAGAAGATGGTTCCTACTGCTTTATTTTCTATTTTCCTATCACCACCCTATGTACTAAAGTTGGATAAGTACCTAAACAGGACAGAAAAAAATAGACTCTTCCCATGACTGATTAGAATGTTATTTTTCCTACTCTGAATTGTTCCTATACCTTTGTAAGATACAAGGATCTAGTTTTAGAAATGGAGCAGTTAAGTTCCTATTTTATTAGAATCAGTCCCAAACACAAAGAGGTGTATAGCTTTTTATATCAAAAGGAAAGATAATCTTGTTCTATTAGTGCATTTTGACACTCATGCCTCAACTACCAGTAGCTGTGGGGATTCACTAATTTACAACTTATAAAGTACCAAGAACAATGCTTGGGAAAAGATTGGAAACTGAATAGAGACAAGAAAGAGTAAATTATTTCAACTCCCATTCTTTGGACCTGAAGGTAGAAATACAAAATTGGGTTTATAGAGGATAGTGTAACATTAACAGTCAGTAATTGATGGGGCTGACTTAATAAATAGTAATTTAGCAAGAATAATTAGTAAGTTAATAGCAAGAACAGTATGTGTAAGTGGATTCAATCAAAAGAAATCAAATTGCCCAGCCGGTGTGGCTCAGTAGATTGAGTGTCATCCCATGGACTGAGAGGTCCTGGTTCAATTCCCGGTCAGGGCACATGCCTGGGTTGCAGGTTTGATCCCCATTGGGGGAGATGCAGGAGGCAGCCAGTCGATGTTTCTCTCTATCATCCATGTTTCTATCTCTCTTTCCCTTCCTCTGTCTCTAAAACATCAATAAAACATATTTTAAAAATAAAAATAAATCAAAGCCATGGCCAGTTTTCTCAGTGGTTAGAGCATCAGCCCATGGACTGAAGAGTCACAGATTCAATTACCAGTCAAGGACACGTATCCGGTTGCAGGTTTGATCCCCAGTCCTGATCAGTGTCACATGGGAGGCAACCAACTGATGTGTCTCTTTCATATCAATGTTTCTTTCTCTCTCTTCTCCCTCTCCTTCCTCCCTCCCTTCCACTCTAAAAATTAGTGGAAAAATATTCTCTGGTGAGGATTAACAACAACAAAAAAAGAATGAAATAAATCAAATCGTATATAGCAGTCTTTTTTTGTTGTTGTTGTTACTCCTCATCTGAGGATATTTTTCTATTAATTTTTAGAGTGGAAAGGAAGAAGGGGGAAAGGGAGAGAGACAAACATTGATGTGAGAGACACATCGATTGGTTGCCTCTCCCACACAACCTCCACCTGGGCCAGGGATTGAACCTGTGGCCCTTTGGTCCGCAGGCTGATGCTCTAACTACTGAGCAAAATTGGCCAGGGCCATAGCAGAGTCTTTTCTGTATGTTTTTACTGATTTACTTAATAGTTGTTACATAGTGCTATATGATGGGCACTGTGCTACCAGAATTTGTAAATCTAAATCTAAAGCTTGGAAAGTGGCCATGCAGCTTGAACTTAAGAATTAAAGGAATGGAAAGAAGTCTTCCCCTTAAGTTCTAAAGATTAGAATTTACTTTTTATTTTTTTAAATTTGTGGTCCTTTAATGTAACTCCTGCATGAACATTGCATACTGTGGTTATTACAAACATTAATAAACTTGGTTTTAGCCCTTTTAAAAAAATTTGTTTTAATCATTATGGTTACTAAAAATGTAAGGTACACTAGGATAGGATTGCAGCTTTAGCTCTTCTGACCTTAGGTCAGTTTTCCCACACTATTTACAGAACACTGGTTCTGCAAGAGCTCCTCTAACCAAGAATTCTCTTGTCAGATAAATTTGTGAAAAGCTGCATTTTATAGATTTCATTTAGGTTCACAATCTAAAGTGACTTGAAAAGGCATAAGTTAAACAGTTCTGTTTAATTTTGCTTAATCCAGTTTTTTTAAGTGTTATTTTCAGAACCAATTTTCCATGTAAGATATTGAACCCACCTCATGAGGACTTTTCCTACCTTTTCTTCCTCCATCATTTATCAGATCTTCATTTTTTCCTTCTGTTCTCCATATGCCTGCTTTCCTTAGTTCCTAATTTGTGTTAAACTTTGAATAATGATGTGCAAGAATAAATAGGCAAAGAGCTAGAACAAGCCTATGAATAAAATGCTTTAGCTTTTCAACAGTTTTT